ACGCTCCTGATCTCAGTGGTACTTAGTCGACCCGGGGGGGCAGGTATTACGTGGCCCCCGGTTCGGGTCTGTGCCTGCAATGCCGCAGCGAAGTCGTTTTAGATGGTGCTGCAGCACAGCTGCGCGCACCGTGATGGGCGCCAAAGGCCCCAAGTCTGTCACTACAGAAAACAGTAGCCATGACTGCGATCGGCCCTAGTGTTCGACCGCTTTCTGTTTGAAACCAGCGCCGCGCGCACAGCTTCGGTCTTCGTGCGCCCATTGATCGGAAGCAGCGTCCCTAAATCCTACGGCCGGCAGCCGTGCCACCGTAAACAATAGTCGCGCAGCGCTTCGCGCCTCACAAACCAAAATCGCGCGCGCGCGCGCCAAAATACAGGACCTTTTGGGGCTTGTTGCGTGCACATACTTTTTGCGACATATGGCGCCCGCAAGATATGCTCTGTAGCTCATCGGGATTGTTTTCTCCCGTTGCCCGCTCTTTTTTTCGGGGTTTGGCACGTGCACTACGTATGGTTCTCTTCTTTTTCGTATGCCCGGAACCTTTACGAACTAGTTCGTGAACTGGGGTACACTCTCGAACCGATTCACATACATACATACATACATACATACATACACACATACATACATACATACATACACGTTCCACTTGGAAGTGAAAATAAGGAGGCACGACAGACGACGAGCCTCATCGTCCGCCGTGCAACTACAGAAGAAGTCGGTGAGAAGATGAAGAGGAGCCAAGCGTCGACCTCTCGGTCGCTCTTCTCGGCTGACTAGTGTAGACCTCTTGTGGCTGAATAGTGTAGACCTCTCGTAGCTCTTCTCGGCCACGCGTTCGACCCCACGGGCTGAGTAGTGTACGTAGCCATAGAATCGGCCGCGCTTCGGTGTCACTGAATAAAATTTGTTCTATTCTTTCCTAGCCCATCGTGCTTGAGCTTGACTTTTTGACCTTTTTTCTCTTGTGATGCTTCGTCATGTCATCTTCTTCCTGCCCCAAATGACCGAACGAACCCCACCCAACCCACAACAGGACAACTTGAAGCTTTATTTCTTCGCGGAATAAACGCTTCTACGTTATTGCCCCCACAAGTTGAAATAAATCACTAACGACGACTCATCTCACCGATGTTTTTATAGAATTAAAACGAAATTAATATTGACAACGAGACAACAAAACTATAAGCTTTTTACAACTGGTGTCCCAGAAGAACACAGCGAAAAACATTTTCTTTCTCTAGATTAGCATAGTTAGACGCACTATAACTAATCTAATTTAAATCGATTCGAAGTGAAGAAGACGAAGACCGATTCCTATCGGGCCGGCGTCCTTCCTTTCTTTTTGTTTTGTTCCTAAAATTTGACTCAGCCCTTCGTCTCCCTGATTTACTATACTAATACCACCGCAAGAAAAATGAAAATGGACGGACGCAAAGTTCCCGCGAGCAGCCCCGAGGGTGTCTCCTTCGGGAACAAGAAGATGTTGCTTTGTTCTCTGCTCCCGGTCGTTTCGGTCGTGCAGGGATCGCACATTATCTTCCACGGCCCGGCTGCACTGGAGCCGGAGTCGGAGCCGCAGCCGAATGTGTTTTTGAGTCCGCGGCCCGTGAGCGCCGCGGCCCGTGAGCAAGGCCGCGAGGCGACCTCGTCCGGGAGCGGGTGGTCGACCGGGAGTCTTATCAAATGCAAAAATGTGTGGGTCTGGCAGAGTGTAAACTTGTCATGCAGGTTTTTCATGATCCATGAGGTCTGGAATGCGAGACCTAGCGTGACAGAGTCTGTGAGGTCTCTGCCATGCCTATCCTGCATGAGAAACTCCCTCCAAACTTGGTCGAAAGTGGACAGCTTTTGGCACTCATGCAGCACAGATCTCTGCATGATTCGGATTAATTTAGCATGACAAGTTGCAATCTTCCAGACCCAGACACTTTTGCAATCCATAAGTCTTGGCTTTCTGCAAGAGGAGTCCAAACCCTCCTCCGCGGCCGCGGTTGCAGTTCCCGTGCAGAGCACGAAACGGCGAAAGAATGTGTTCTATTACGCTGCCGGAGGGACGGAGCTCGCGGCGGCGTATGCTTCCGCGCGCTATCTGGCGCAGCAACGCGATGAAAACGGCGACCCGGTTTACAACGTGGTCTGCGGATTTAACTTTGGTCTCTCGATGATGCTGGTCGGCAGGCCGGGGGAGTGGCATATCGGGGAGGGTGACCCGGTAGAACTCGGGTGGTTGACCGAGAAAGAAGCCGAAGTCGACTGCAGCGCTGCAGCAGCTCGCGGCGGTGCTGAGGGTGCGAGAGGAGCCAGTGGAGACAGTGCGTCCCCGTCTCCTCGAGTTCATCCCTATAACAGGTGCGATGTTCCCATCGGACACTTACCCCTGGGCAGCGATGCTTTTTTGCAGGAGGAAGTGGGAAAAACCGAGCGCATCGCCTTGTCACAACCTCTGAATTCCGAACTGAAGCGGATGAAGGCGGCGGGTGTGCACCTGGCGCCGCATCGACTGTCCCTTCAATTCATCGCCAGAGACCAGTTGCGGAAGGGAGGAAAACCCGAGGAAAAGCCCGCGGAGATGTATGGCCAGCTTTTGGCCGGAATCCGAGACGAGGCCGCTCTCGTTGCACACGCCAAACAGGCTTTGGGAGCTATGCCACCTAGTGGCGCGGAGGCAGCGGCATCTACGGGCGTCGACGAGGCAGCTGCACCGCTGACCGAGGCAGAAGCGGAGTATGTGTACGGGTACCCGAGCTACGCGCGGTACGTGAAAAACGTAATTTTTGAAGGAGAGGCTGTCGACCTGGCTGTTGTGGACGTGATTGCGATGAATAACCGAGAGTTTGCGAAGCAGCTGGGTCTCGATTTTCGAACGACGATGTTGCGGGAACTGAGCCCGGCAGTTCTTGTGCAATGGATTGGGAATCCCGCGATGAGTCCGTACCCCACAATTAGCGGCCGCAAGTCGGAGGCACCGATACAACCGGACGACGCTCTTGTGATCGACATGGCCCAGGTCCCCTCCGTGACAGCGACACCTTTTCCGCTCTTTTACAATTGGGCGAATGCGAATGCGAATGCGCCGCAGTCGATTGGAGACTTGCAAAAATCACTAGAGGCCAACGCAGAGCTGGAACACACCCGGGTCGGGGCAGCCCCCGGCTGCCGGTGGTCAAGGTGCACCTGCAATCGCACCGGCAGGAGGACGGAGGTTCACAGCCGTCGGCGGACTTCGGGCCCTACGCCCTGGTCATGCCCCACCCCGCCCGCGAAGCGAATGCCAGCACAGCGGGAAGCGCTCACGTGACCAGCCTCAGCGAAAAACTGCTTGAAGGAGGGCGGTTTGACGCACTGATCTATGTGGGCTTCGGGACGCAGCCCAACTGGTTTTCGCGCGAAGGAGTTCGGTACCTGGCGAGGGAACTCGTCGGGGCGTCGGAGTCTGCGCTGGTCTACATGGTAAAGCCGAAGCTGATGCCGGTGGATTTCGATCCGGAAGCGGCTGTTTCGCCGCAAAAGTTTTTCGCGGGCCTGGAGGCGTCGTTTGGTGGATGGCTGATGTTTCACCCGGAAGAGGTGGCGCCCCAGCTGGAGATCTTTCAGACTTTCGGTGACGGAAAATTCATGGTCGACCCCAAGGACGGCGGCGGAGAAAGGCCGCTGCAGGTGATCTTCGTGTCGCACGGTGGCGTGGGCTCGCTCGCGGAGGCCGCCGCGTTCCGACTGCCGCTCCTGTGCCTCCCCCTGCTCCAGGGGGACCAGCCCCCGAACTGCAGACAGGTGGCGCGTATGGCAACGGGGCGGGACTTGGGCAAGCTGTCTGCTGCGATGATTCTCCACAAGATGCTCAGCGGTCCGATTGCATCCGACGTCACCAATCTCGCGGGCCGCCATTTCGCCTATTTTTCAACGCCGGGCTGCAAGACGGGCGGCGAAGATCGTACCGGGGAGCTGAAGTTCGAAGGAGTCGTCGCCGCTACGCGCGCAGAGCTTGGCAAGCTGCAAGGCTTTTACGAGTCGGCCGCGCAGTTCTCGCAGTCCGTGCGGGCGATGAAGCGTTGGGAAGAAGAGCTTCTGCCCGAGTTCGAGCGGGAGAGCGGGGTCCCGTGGCGCAAGCAGCTGGACATCCAAGGCGTGCTCCGCACGGAAGCGAAGGCGCTGCTTGCCGCGGACTCTGCCTACGCGCAAGGAATTCGCGGAGCACTAGACACTTCGCAGGACCTCCTGTACCAAAACACGGTAAGCCGCGAAACGGGGGCGGGCCAGTTGCTCGAGTATTTCATGCAAAACGAGAAAGAGCACGGGGGATGGATGGTCGCGGACGGGGCGACGGAAGCCTAGCCACGCCGGTCGAGGGGCGCTCCTCCGGAGAACGCCGAGATCTTTTGCAGCAAACGCGCGCAGAAAGCGCACAAAGAAGCGACGAACTCAAAGATGACCATGGCAATATGATGTCGGATTTCCCGTATCTGTCTGCTATGGAAACTACTACTACTGTTATAAGATACAAGTCGTGTTTAATCTCAATAAACAGACCCTGCTATAATTAGAGCACACGAACAAAAACGAATAGGGCGCAACTATAGGGAAATACGAACAAAACTAGAAGAGGAGATGGAAACTAGCTGGGTTTCTCTGAAGCCGGAAAGAACGCGAACAATTCGCACAGCTATGCGCGAACCGAGCGCAACACACAAAAACAGGGAAACTCCTATAGAGCGACGAAGTTACTTTTTTGCCATGGTAAAGCGAAAGCCGCATCATCCGCCTAGGTACGCGGAAGCGTTGTGGAGAAGCTACCGCAAGTAAACCTCTGAAAAAGTCATACGAAATTTACCTTCCTCTCTATTTTGGTCCGCCAAGCTACGCGGGGGGCGCGGGTAAGTAGTAAAAATGCCGGCCCCTTTACGCGTGTAAGGCTTGGATCGGGACACCTTGCGGCGCGAAAGTCCTCTTCCAAAAAAAAAAAAAAGGCGCCGCCATCGTACCACCTGAAAACACGAAAGGCCGGGGCGCTGCGGAGAAGCCGCCGCAGGCACGCCCCGTCCCACCAAGTCGGGCGAGGTTTTATGTTTTTCGTTTTTTCGGCCCAAGCTACGCGGGGGGCGCGGGTAAGTATCAAAAAAGGCCGGCCCCTTTACGCGTGTAAGGCTTGGATCGGGACACCTTGCGGCGCGAAAGTCCTCTTCCAAAAAAAAAAAATAGGCGCCGCCGTCGTATCACCTGAAAAGACGAAAGGCCGGGGCGCTGCGGAGAAGCCGCCACAGGCATACCCCGTCTCACCAAGTCGACCGAGGTTTTATCTTTTTCGTTTTTTCGGCCCAAGCTATGCGGGGGGCGCGGGTAAGTATCAAAAAAGGCCGGCCCCTTTACGCGTGTAAGGCCTGGGTCGGGACACCTTGCGGCGCGAAAGTCCTCTTCCAAAAAAAAAAAAAGGCGCTGCCATCGTATCACCTGAAAACACGAAAGGCCGGGGCGCTGCGGAGAAGCCGCCGCAGGCACGCCTCTCATCAAGTCGGGCGAAATTTCTGTTCCCCGTTTTTTCGGCCCAAGCTATGGCGGGGGTGTGGGTATCAAAAAGAGCCGGCCCCGCCTCTACGCGTGTAAGCCTTGACCTTGAGCCGTGCCACTGCGGCGGCGCGAAGTTTTTGCAGCCGCCACCACTTACTACCGCCTCGCCTCCAGCTAGTCGGCACAGGCGAAGGCACATTTTTGTCCTCGGAAGCAAACAACTGCTTTCTGTGCGCAAGAACGCAAGCACGTAAATACCTCCGTAGTACGTCAAAGGTCTTATATTTTGTCATCAAGCAGACTGTTTGGCTCAACAATTACAATGCTTCACTTCTGTGGCCTAGATACTAACGATACCTTTTTCAATCAAATTTTTCGGCTCAGTTGAACTACCAGTTTTGTTGGAGGACATCGTGTAAGAAAGCCAGTTATATTCAGGTTCCTGCTGCATTGGAAGCATTCGAAGCAGCTCATGTTGCGGGGCAGTGGGTCGTGCTCCTGCTCTCGCGACAACAGGGAGCCACAAAAATATTTCATCGAGCGTGCCTCATCATGGTTGTTGTTCGATCCAACGTGTCTTCACTAGGCTCGTTCTGTCCTGTGGGTCCGCGATCAAGAAAGAACAGAACGTAGGTTATAATTCAGGCTTCGTTGAAAATTCATTGTACGGCCATTGTCATGTCAACATTGTCGTCAACCCATTGAAACGAAAATTTCGATTTCCCTTTCAGACGACCACGATCAAGTGCATTCGCATGAAAGAAAAAAAAAGGATGAAAAAATCGAAATCCGGTCACTTGAAAATGCAAGGAAGATGATCCAGAGTTCCAGCGATCGGTGATGAAGTTCTTCAAAAAAACGATCAACAAAGTTCTTCACAATTCCTTCGAAGGTGCTCTAGAATTGAGGCCATTTTTTCCTTGTTGCAACACCAAAATCAGCAGGACCGTCGCGTGGTGTTTTGAAGCGATGCGTTAGTTTCGAATATCTGCTTTCTCGTTGATTTCTTTCTGCATAAACAAGCCAAAAGACTTGGACTTCCAGAATTAGTACCTCGGCAAAAATCCGAACTAAAGGCAGTTTCAGTACGGAGAAAAAGCTTTGATTTTGAAAATGACGGTGAGCAAACCTGAGAAGTCTGCCAAGGCAGACGGTGTGAAGAAGGTGAAAAAGGTCAAGAAAGTGAAGACGGCTACTGCGGAGCAACCAGCAGCGGCATCCACTGTGGCAGCTGCAGCACCTGTAGTGGCTGCAACGACAACATCAGAAGGCGCTGCTGTTGCGAAAAAGGCAAAGAAGACGAAGAAGGACAACAAAACTGGTGTAGCAAAGCCTACTACACCAGCTGCAGAAAAGAGTGAAGACTCCACAACAGTCGATGATCAGAATAAGAGTGCAGCTAGTGGAGCAGTTTCGTCCACGAGCACGAAAGTAGCTAGCACAAGTGCCGGATCTTCACCAGCGGAACCACAAACCATGGCAGCTTTCCTTCTGAAAAACCGCGTTGCGAATGCCCAGGACTTCCAACCGGTTCCGATGGACAACATTTCTGACATCAGTAATAAATCGAAGAAAGCTCTGAATGAGTATAAATCCATCACCTCCCTCTTCGAGATCCAGGCCCGGGTGTTCGAGCACGCCGTGGCCGGAAAAGACGTGGTCGGGAAGGCCAAGACGGGCTGCGGAAAAACTCTGGCTTTTTGCCTACCCGTGGTCGAGCGGTTCGCAAAGTTGCTGGAGAGTCAAGACGGTGAATTCACAAAAGCAGTGTCGCGGAAGAAACCGCTGGTGATTACCCTTGCTCCAACCCGGGAACTGGCAAAACAAATTATCCGGGACTTTGAAGTTCTGGGGAACGCGCACAATTTCTCGTCCGAGTGCTTGTACGGGGGTGTCCAGTATCAAATGTAAAAATAAATGTCTGGGTCTGGAACAAAGCAACTTGTCATGCTAAATCTGAATCATGAAAAAATCTGTGTTGCGTGATTACCAAAAGAAAAGCTGTCCACTTTTGACCTAATCGAGAGGCAGTCTCTCATGCAGGATAGGCATGATAGAACTCTCACAGAATCTCTCATGCTATGTCCTTCATACCAGACCTCATGGGTCATGGAAAACCTGCATGACAAGTCTGGCATTCTTCCAGACCCAGACATTTTTGCAGTTGATATCCAGTTCGGCCCGCAGTGCCAGGTGTTGCGGGAGGGGTATCAAGAAGAAAAATCCCCCCTCCCCATATCAAAACGAAACTTCTAATGCTGGATTTGCGTACACAAATCAGCCCTGTCTTGCAGTAGAGGACTGCAGGCCCGCATCAAGCCTGACTGGGAGAGGTTTTGGCCTAGGCGCTCAGCATGTCAAAAGTCCATGCTGCAGGCCGAACAGCATCACAAACCGCCGTTATAACGCGGGGGGCCTTCTGGGTTCGCCTTCTTGCAAGACAAACACGATTTGTGGCCACAAATCAGCATCGCAAATGTCCGAAAATATACCTTTTCGGTATGGGGAGGGGGGATTTTTCCTTTTGATAAGGGAAGGCAGATCATCGTCGCGACCCCCGGCCGGTTGTTGGACCACATTCAACGGCAAACCATCGACTTGAGCGAAGTCAGGTACTATGATCCACTTGAATGTTAATATTGCCAGGCTACTTTGAAGAGAAAATGAAAATGTCCATTAGTCGCTGCGACTGACTCTTGCTGCAGTTGGTGCTCTTGCATGTTGACTGCGTTTTCAATTTCGTCCAAAATCAAATCGTAATCCTCGCAATTGCATGATAATCAATTCCCAAGCATGTTCAACTCGTCAATCCCTCTCAGGGCCCTCGTCCTCGACGAAGCCGATGAGATGCTTTCCATGGGTTTCCAGGAGGACGTCGATTCCGTCATCAACGCGTTACCGCGGAAGGACGTCCAGAAGCTCCTGTTCTCCGCGACGCTCCCCCACTGGGTGATATGCAATACAAATTTCCCGTACATGTACTTACAAGATGCATCACAAATTTTACCAATGAATTTGGAGTGTGACCACACTTGTCATGCTAAACCAGGATCGAAGCCCAGTTTTGTCATGCAGAGACTGCATTTGTATGTGTACGGGAAATTTACTGTGGATAGGTGAACGACCTGGTGCAGAAAAAGATGACAGACCCGCAGTGGGTCGACATCGCGAGCAAGGACGACAACAGCACGAACAAGAACATCAGCCACAAGTGCATCTTATGCATTGCAAATGTGTCTGGGTCTGGAAACTTGTGATGCTGGATGGCGTATCATGGGGAGGCCACTAGTGCTGGCTCAGCATGCCAAGTTTCTGAGCTTCTAGGTGTTGCCCACTCTGCGTGACAGACTGCGTCTCTGCATGACAGAAAAGTGGGGCTCTTGGGTAACGTGCATGACAGATTTAAGAGTCATACCGGGCAACCATGACAAACATGCACCCTTCCAGACCCAGACACTTTTGCATTTGATACATCTTCTGCCCGCCGCAGTTCAAAGCGGACACTTTAGGGGATTTTGTCAAGGTCCACGCGGGCGCGCTGTTTGGGAAAACCGTGATCTTTTGCGACAGCAAGAAGGAGGTCAACGAGTTAGCGCAGCACGAGAAATTGGTCCAACTCGGCGCGGGGGTGTTGCACGGCGACGTCCAGCAGAACCAACGCGAGGTCGTGATGGAGAATTTCCGCACGGGAAAGATTAAAGTTTTGGTCGCAACTGACGTTGCGGCCCGGGGTCTGGACGTGCCGTGTGTGGATTTGGTGATCAACACGCGGCCGCCGCAAGACGTGGAGTCCTACGTCCATCGATCCGGCCGAACCGGCCGCGCGGGGAACAGCGGGGTTTCGATCATCTTCTACAGCCGGTCGGATGAGTACATGATCCGGATTTTGAAGCGGAAACTCGGGATTGAAATGCAACGCGTCGGGCCGCCGCAACCGTTCGACATTGTGAAATCCGCGGCGAAGGACAGCACGCGGTTCTTGGATTCCATATCAAATGCAAAAGTGTCTGGGTCTGGAAGGTTGGAACTTGTGATGCTATTTTTGGACTCTAAAAAAATCTGTATTGCATGAACAGCAAGAGGAGTCTAAATTGTGCTACGCGGGGAGGGCGTTTGTCGTGCGGAGTAGGCATCAGGAAGCCCTCTAAAAATCTGTGATGCTAGGCCGTGCATTACAGACATCCTGTGTCATGCAAAACATGCTTGACAAATTTCAGAATCTTCCAGACCCAGACATTTTTGCATTTGATATTCCATCCACCAGGACAACGTGGAGGCGTTTCTGGACCAGGCGAAGCAGATGATTGAGGAGCGCGGCGTATCCTGTGTAAAAACGTCCCCACCTCCCCATAGTTGTCATGCAAATCCGCCATGACAGGAAGATTTGTAATGATCATCTCCATAAAAGGCATTTCGATTTCCGATTGTGTTTTCGCATTTGTAATGCTGTGAACAGGATGTGGATGAGACAGAGACTTTCTCATGCGGCTTCCCTTGCTAACCAGCACTACACTGCAGATGGAGACTTGTCATGCGCAACTCCTAAAACTTGGAGATTTGTGTTGCAGATTTACCAACTTGACTATGGGGTGGGGACGTTTTTGCTCAGGATACGGCGCGGAGCAGGCGCTAGCCGCGGCGATGGCGGGGTTGACGGGTTACACGAAGCGGGTGCAGGGAAGGAGTCTGTTGTCCTCGTTTCAAGACTGCACGTGCCTGAAACTCACCAGTAACAAGCCGATCGAAGCGACGTCGAAGGGGTTTTTCCTCCTCCGCCAATTTTTCGATAAGTCCTTGACCGAGGATAAGATCAAGGGGATGACGTTGTGCGCAGATAACTACTCCTGTATCTTCGACGTCCCTTCCGACCAGGTGGACGCCATGATGGCGATCGTGCAGACACCAGGCGTGTTATGGGACGGGATTGAGATCACGATCCCGCGGGAGCTCCCTGAGTTGCAGGAGCGGGACGGAAACAGCTGGCAGAACGACGAGCAGGCGCATAAAGATAGAAAGAAAATGCTGTGGGAAAGGAGAACCGGGAAAGGCGGCGGTGGCAAGGGCGGTGGTAAGGGCGGTGATCACGGCGGAAAAGGAAAAGGAGGCGGGAAGAAGGGCGGTTTTACCGGTAGAGGTGGCGGATCTGCTGGCGGAAAAGGACAGCGATCGGGACCGTATTGAAGAGAGAACTACGTTTTCTAGGAAATTGAGGTCCACCTTTTCCGTACTACCTGCCTCTCTATTACTTCCACTTCCACCTGACTGTATGATCATGCAACTGCCGCGAGGGTGAACAAGAGCTCTTCCTACTTCTTCACGTTCATCTATTTATTCTGGATATAGCTTTACTGGGTCACAGGGTATTTTCATTTTTCAAGACGAATTTCGTGTGCGTGCATCTGGTAACTACTTCAAACGAATCCATTAACAAATCCTTTCGCTTTTTTCCCGAGGAGCGGGAGCAGGAGAGATTTTTTGTTCCCTTCTGAGAGCACCAGACACTCTGCACAACTGATGTTCGCACGGGACCACGAGTGCAATTGTTATTGTTGTAGCCGCCTATGGCTCGTCCTCGCTCTTTTCTTCTTGGTTTTGTTTTGCGCTTCTCGTTTCGTTTTTTTTTTGGGTGTCGGGAAGGAGAAATAACAGTCAGCAAGACGGGAGAAAGGACGAAGACGGAGTTTCTTTGGTTTCACTCCGGCGTGCTGCGGAAGATAAACAATGATTGACAATCGGGAGTGATGGCATGCATGTTGTAGGAGGTGAAGCTGGAATGCATTTATGGAGTTGGGGATTAGAGCACAGAGACCCCAAAGAGACTCCTCAGGTCTCTGATCACTGCCTTGTTGAGCTCCGACTGACAATCGTGGACGCGGTGCCACAATTGCCGACTTTGCATGCTGTTTGCTCTTCTCTTGAAGATGGGGCAGCTTCTGCCGCCAACTTCTCGGTCGAGCAGGAAGAGCCGAAAGATGTAGCTATGCATTACACAGAGGAGGGGGCTTTTACTTCCAAGTTGCACAGATTCAAGTTTGAGAATGGGATACCGGTAAAGGAGCAGAAATGGGTAGGGAAGTACAACAGCGACGTCGAGTCTCGCATCCGGGATCATCCTATCATGCGCAATAACTGGAAGAAGCGGAAGTTATTTCGTCCAAGTATCAAAGATATTGAAGATGGTCATCTCCAATATTTGTCTTGCAGAAGCGGAAGTGATATTTAGACCATGCCAATATTGCGGGCGCCTCCGTGCGTCGCGCCAATTGGTTAGATTAACTAGAATAAACACCCACTAACTAAGATGATTGATCACGTGTTCTTATGCTACTAAGGTTCTAACAACAAACAAAATCGTGACTGTCAGGTTTGCTAGAGGTGCAGTCTTCAGTGCTATCGATGTGTCTCCACTTTTGGACAAATTCAAAAACACAAAAATCAAAAATAAAAAAAGCAGGAAGCAGGAACAGGGTGAATAGTAGTAATGTTCACGTGAGTAGGGTAGTGTTTATGTGCTGCGAGAAGATAGTAGCGGTGATGAGGCTAGAGAAGTTGCAACTTTGATTGAGTAGTGTTAAGAGGGGTTAGTGCCCGAGTCAAAGATATATTTGGCATGGTCTTAGGAGAATTTCTGCTCCGTAGTAACCTTTACCTTTTTCAAAGTTTTTATACCTGGTGTATTATCTGCTTTTACTTTGTGTTAAAACGGAGTTTCTTCGGTTTCACTCCGGCGTGCGGTGGAAGATAAACAATGATTGACAATGAATGTTGAAAAAGTACTAAGTTCTAGTTTTGATAAGTCCTTGTTTTGTACTTGTGTGTGTAAGAGCCACTCGAATCAGGGGCGCAATTCGAGTTCTTGCTAATATCTTCATAATTTTTGTATTGTTCTTGTTCTTCGAACCTCCGCGTACGCGTTGTACTTACTGAAGTGCCTAAAAATCATGGTGGTCGAACACCTGGAATTTGCGTCCAACGAGGAGTTAGGGATCACAAATATGTCTGAATCGGGAAGATTTCTAGATTTGTCATGCATATTTTCCATGAGCCATGATGTCTGTGATGCATGCCGTAGCATCGCAGATTTTTAGACGGCTTTGTGATACCTCTACCGCATGAGAAACGCCCTCTCCACGTAGGACAAACCCGACACCTCATCTTGCTGGTCATGCAATACATTTTTTTTTAGAATCCACAGACAGCATCACAAGTTGTCACCCCCCAGACCTAGACATATTTGCATTTGATAGAAGTTGCAGAAATTTCTCGACAAGCACAAGATCGTCATCCTCGTTTTTTTATGGATTGCAAAAGTATCGTACTCGTATAAATGCATTACAAATTTCGACTTCCACCTCAGCATGAGAAAGAGAGTTTGCAATGCTGATTTACCTTAGGCAAAAGATTTGTAATGCATGACTGCAATACGAATACGTACGATACTTTTGCAGTGCATATTTCTCCGGTGATTGGTGCGGCCCCTGCCTGCGCATGGGCCCGGAGTTCGAGAGACACGCGAAGGAGCACGAAAATGCGATGTTTGTGATCCTCGACTGCGACGTATGCAATACAAATTCCCCGTACATGTACAAGATGCATCACAAATTTCACGAATTTGGAGCGTAAAACTTGTCATGCTAAACTAGGATCGAAGCCAAGTTTTGTCATGCAGAAACCGCATTTGTACGCGTACGGGAAATTTACTGTGGATACGACACGTGTGCCGTGTGTGCGGAGGAGAACGACATCGACTGCATCCCGATATGGGGCTCTCAAACGTTACATTCTCAACTGTTACCTGAATTTGTAATGCAAGAACAGCAACAGTGAAAGTGGCAAGATAATTGCAGCTTTCGCATCACAGATTTTCCAGAGATTATCATGCTGTATAGCCCTTCGCGAATTTGTCATGCTAGAAGCGCCTTGATCAAGTAGAGGCTGATGGCAATTTTGCATGACAAATGTAAATGGTGTAACAGTTGAGAATGTAACAGTTGAGAGCGCCATACCCGACCTTCCTCGCGTACAAGCACGGAGAAGAATTCGACCGGTTCGAGGGGGCGTGCCAGAAGTCGCTGGAAAGGATGATCGAAAAGGTGTTTGCTGATGGAGCAGCAAGTAGTCGTCCTCGGGACGACCACGATGTCGCTTCGTCAACCGCAACGAATATTAAAACCCTGCTGACTTCTTCCACGGAGGACCACATCAAAGACGATGCGGTAGAGCACCACGGAAAGCAGGGCAGCACGGGAAAAAAGGACAAATCGGACGGACAAGAAAGAAAAGGCGCTATCGGTAACGAGGACCACGGGGCTGCAGTCCGGGGAAGCAAAGACAAGTAGGATCAGGTGGAACGAGCGCAGGGCGCATGACGCGCAAGAACGACCGCATGCCTCCCAGCAGTTCATAGGATAACATCAAGAATGAGAAATAAATCTTTTACAAATCTAGAATGATCTGACGTTTGGTTCTTTCCAGTGAAGGGCATTAGACCCCTTGATGGTCGGTAGCTTTTCACCTTTTTTCATGATATTGTCTTTGGTCGTGTGATTTTAGTTTTACGTGTGTGTAAAGCTTCAAAAAACTTCTACGTCCACAACAACAAAAAAACAACGCGCATAGTAGCACAAGTTGAGGACCTGACTTGGCCAGTCACAACAGAAGTTGCATCACCGGATCTACATCATGGTGAGATAACTTCTTCTTCCATATTTTGCAGCTGTTTCAAGGTCGCAAACGCAAAGACAAGAGGATATGTCGCAATAAAGTGGCCCATTATGCAGCTGCTCAGTATTACTGATCTACATTTAATTGCTAGCAAGTTTTGTTTCACGGTTAGCAACTCGACAAAGCTTATGAACGTATGAGCATGCTTGCTAGTTCGTTATCGTTTCAGTAGTTTCCATGTGGCTAAGCGTTACAAATACCTATTTGTTGCATCTTCATCAGGAATCAAAACTGATTGAGGTTCTTGTTCTTCATCTATTTCTTTTTTCGTAGCTCTTCACCTCCTTCTACTGCTCTTGTGTAAGTATGTGAGGTTGACAAAATAAGGTATCTGTGAACAATAGTGTATTTGTTTGGAGGACGAGGATCCGTGGACCTGTACAATTTACGAATTTACTTCATTATCTTCATTTCCTGATAGATCACTATCGAGGACGAGGCGCGCGACGACAAAGAGGATAATTCCATCTTGTACAAATACGTGAGTGTGAAGTATCACGTCATGATGTTTCTGTTTGAATTTAGTGCATGAGAAAATTACCTTCTCGCCATCGGGGCAGCTGCATCAGCTTTGTTCACCAGCCGTAATAAAGAGGACACGCGCCTGCTTACTTGAGTAGTGCGTGCTTCTTTTTCTTCTGCTGTTCTTTACAGCCACGGCTTTTTACTAGCCACGAATCGTGTTATTTTTGCTTCTATTTCTTGTCTCTGATTTAGATTTTGTCGTGTTTCGAAAGTATGACCGTAAGAGCAGACTTCTATCCAGCAACGGCGTCTACTACAACGTCAAGTGCAAGAACGCAGAAACCTTCGACATCAGCACTAACCGGGATTTCTACCTCCATGGAGGAAATCGCCGGTGAACAACAACAAGGTCTTCCCGGGAATGTCCAAGCGGAACTACAACAGCAACCGCGACGGTTGTCTACCAACTCGACCTCCTCTGCTTCAACCAAGAAGCCTACGACGCGTTCGTGGATCCCCCTTTCCTTCCGCGACGTGGCAGAGGACCGGGTTCTCAACGTCCTCACGTACAACATTCTGTCCGACGAGAAGGCGGTATGGAAGCGTCAGGTTTGAAATCGACAAAGTTGAGATGATTTGTCATGCATAAAATGCAAGGCATGAAGTGCCTGTCTTGCCGGGATGGCAAGTGAGGCAGATTGTGAGCCTATTTAGGGTTTGGGATAGAGCTGCTAAAGGAGCATGACAAAAGCAGTCTTCTGTGCCCAAGCAGCATGACAAAGTGGGGTCCGGTGGTCCGAAAATTTGTCATGCGCCGCTTGGAAATTGGGCTTCCAACTGGTATCGATTTTATACATTACAAGTTATTTCAATCCTGACACCCCCATAAGCGGCGAAAGAAGAGTGGGCCACAAATGTTCCGCCCTTCCAGCACAGGAAGGGGATTATTGTCGAAACCATCGCGGCGAACGACTTGATCGCGTTGCAGGAGGTGGGACCTGCTGTGTTTTCCGAGCTGAAAAAACAATTGGACGAAAGTTACGACGGGGTTTTCTTCCAGCCCTCGATTCCGCCCTGCGGCGTCGCGGTGTTCGCACGGAAATCGCGTTTGAAAATCGCCCGGTACGACGGGTTCCAAATCGAGGACAGCATGTGCTTACAATGCGAAATCCGGATGCTGGTAAACGGGAAGGTGAAGATGTCGAAGAAAAATCTGAACAACAAATTCGCCTGCGAAACTGTGCATTTTTTCGCGATCCATTTCTGTGGCGGAAAGCAACCGGGGGATGAGGAACGAAGGGCGAGGCACTTGAAATTGCTGCACGAAAACGCGATAGAGGGACTAATAACCGACCCGGCAGAAGGTGGTGGCGAAGGCAACAATAACTCGTTCTCGCCGAAGAACATTATCGTCGCCTGCGACAGCAACAGCGAGCGGACCTTCGCGCCAGTGGAGGAACTCGAGCCGGTTTGGTACGGAGAAGTGAAATATGCATCGCAATAAAAGTATGGTACTAGTAGAAATAGCATATACAAATTTTTCCAGAAGGAAGAACGGAATTTGTAATGCTGAATGAGCTAAGGCACCAGATTTGCCATGCATGACTGCAATTACTTATTACTACGAGTGCGATACTTTTGCACTGCATATTAAGAGGTTGTGGCTCGAGCCGGGGCTGTTTCAGGACGCGGTGTTGGATGCGAATTTGTTGTACACGACGAAAAAGATGCGAACCGAGGGAAAAATCACGCAGCGAGCGGTGGACTACATCTTTGTCAGCTGCAATAAAGCGGATAATTTGACGGTCCACGGCGTGCTGGACGTGCCGAGGTATGTTGCAAGTAGTACGAAGAGGTCAACAATCGCGGAAAACTTGATGCCAAATGAAGAGTATGTGTCAGACCATCTACCAGTAGTCTGCAAACTTTCTGTCGGCACAGGGGGGACTTCTGGTCGTGCGTCAGCGGAGTTTCACTTGAGAAAACACAGGGGATTTTTGACGTGTATCTTCGGCGTGAAAGATGAGGACTGACGGTAGTGGGACAACTATCAGCTAGGAAAAGGAACAACTATCCCCTGCTGATCTCGGACGATAATTTTGCAGTGCTGCATCCTATGACTTGATTGTGTTTGTCTTTGTTCACATAGATTACCCGTCCAACGCATCCCGAGCGCAAACTTTACAACTATTTGGGCAGTTTGCGCGACCAAGAATCGCAGTTTTCCCGTACCCTGGAGGCGGTCTACGAAGGACAGCGCAAACTACTTTTTTTTGTTTCCCCGTCGCTTCATCTCGTCTGATTTCGTGGATTTGTGTTTGTCTCACTCGTGTATGTCTGTATGTCCCTCATGGAGGGCCTCGTCCACGACTGCTTTTCGTACTACTCTTCACCAAGAAGTCTATCGTGCCTGCGTCTTCAGCGTCAGTAATTATCCAACTGTCTTCGTGCCACCCATACTCATACAGACCACTATCGTTTCTCTTCAAGTAGTTCAACAAGATTCAACAACGGAAGGCTTACAACCTCTAGCCAGCTCTCCTACCTTCAAGAGTACCTCTACCCAGCTCTCTTTACAGAAGGCTTAAAACCTCTACCTTGTGGAATACCTCTACCTAGCTCTCTTTACAGGGCACCCAGTCACCTCGAGCTTGTGCTTGTCTCTGCTGCTTTTTTGGTCGGTTGTTCTCTACTATCATAATATCTGACAAATAGTTGTCGGACTCGGACCTGCAATTGTGGCAGGAGTTTAATTATTTACCGCCAAGTAGCCATTTTGGCTCAAGGGCTCTAGTACCGGCTTGATTGCGACGGAAAAAACTCACGAAAATCCTCGAACTACAGTAAAGCAAGTGCTGCATACTTGTCGAGACTAACGTCGTCCATTATGCGAATTGTTATTGTAATTATTCGATGCTGGACCCGGTCTGGGCTTGCGTTCGTCGGAGATTTATTCAGCGTCGACGGCCTCTCGGCGGAGCAGTGGCGGGACCACCGGGTCAAGGATGAAGAAGATTTATCTAAGCTCATCAAGCCGCTCCCGGTGCCGAGAAAAGAGCAGCATGAAGCCGTCGGAGCTCTGTTGGAAGATCAGGAACAGGGCGGCGAGACACGTCCACCACGGTCTACCCATGAGCCGTGGCTTCTCGGGAGCGCGTATGCTGAGGGGGTCTACGTTTCCGCAGAGATGCTAGCGCCTTTCGACGCTGATCAAGCTGATCGTGACGCCGAGCATGGAGCCAACAACTGCCTGCATCACGACGGGAAAGTCTGTAAGAGCCACGCCATCGCAAACCCGTGGCTGCAAATTCAATCGGCTCAAGAGTTGCCCATCTTCCGTGTGAGTGTTCGTGCACCGCATGTTCCGCAAGAGGACGAGGGGGAGTTGCATTCGCGGGAGTTGCATTCGCTGGTGTCGCAGCGTCTAGGCCCTGACGGCGAGACGATTGAGTGCGGTGTGCGGGTCGGCGTGCATTCCTCCAACGGAGAGAGTGAGACCACATTGGGCGGCGAGACCCGCATGAAGCCGCCGTGTCACGAGGAGTTTCCCGGGTTGGCCTGCGAGGCAGCGTACATGTGTCACCCCGCAGGACGACCGGAAACCGAGCTGGGCGTCAAGCAGGACCTCCACCAGGACGGGCTCGAGGAGGTAATGGACTTTGACTGTCCGGCCAACACCAAGGGGAACTATGTGTTTGTGCAGCTGCAGTCAGAGGGGTGCGGGATGACGGAGGTGCTGGATGTGCCGGACCCTAAGAGTCCCGACAACAAGATGATTCAAACACACGGTGTGCAGCGGCGTCTGGAAGTTCTTCGCGTAGACGTGTTCCGGCCCGCTCCGGCCCCGGAAGCAGCTTGTTCGCCCGAACTAGCGCTCTGCGTCGACGCAGAGGGGGTTCCTGTGGACGGGGTGTCCTGCATGACTGCGAGAAAATTCTTACCCCCGGAGGGTCAAGCCGGAGACGAAATGAGCGGAGAGGTTTACGCCTGCTGGCAGAGCACTAGCGAGTGTAATGAGTTTGCGAACGCGCACCACGAGCACAACGCTCCTGAGCCGGGGATTGAAGCAGGGGGTGCATCTGCTGGACACACACTCGAGATCTCTCATTGCGCTGCGCACAAGCAGCCGAAGTGCGCAGCAGCCACGGAGGGGGACGCGCATGAAAAGTACGCCTGCCCTTTCGAGGACGGGGAGTGTTACATGATCACTGGGGGCGTTAGCGGACACTCCACCAAAGACGAGCGGTTTTGTTTCAAGTCGGAGCCTCGGATCGGCTCGGGCAACATGGCGCTCGCCCCATGTGAGGCCTATTCGTCCTACTTCTACGCACACGGGGCTGACAACAAGGAACCACTGGAATGCCGAAAGCTAGAGAGAGCTGCTACGCTGGACGACGGTGGCGCATTCATGGAAACTACGAAAACAGAGGGCAATAAGAAACTCGAGCCGCCTTTGAGTCGCAATCGCCGAGGGCAACCTATAATCATGGTCTGAGAATCAACAGCATATGTTATGTGCATGCTTTAATCACTTAAATCTAAAATTAGAAAATGATGCGTTTTTTCGAATAGTAATTTTATATTTATTTTTATTCCTCCATGTGCAATCAAAATTAAAACAAGAAAGGCGCCGTCTTTTGCGGATGACAACGAGCACGACACCACCAGAATCCCGCTTCTCGATCGTAGTTTGATGTGTAGCTTTGTTCTGTGTCCGTACTCGATCTCCAAATGCCTTGATCTCTCGGTTATCGCTCTGCCTAGCACCCTCGTAAATGCCTATTTGTCTACCTGTAATGCTAAATCGTTGTACGTATCTGCTATCTCGTCCATCCTCGTCTCGTGCTGATGTATCTCGTGCAATAATACCTTTACTCCTTACACCTCGTCATTTCGTGTCGCTACGGGTCGTCTTTGTATTCTCGTATGTAGCTTTTCTTCGCATCATCACCATCGTCTCGTATCGTCTTCGCTGTTGTACATAATATATTTTCATCATCGGCTTTTCTCGTGCCCTAATCGTCTGCTCTCGGGTCGGGCCGTCATTTTCCCCTTTTCAAACTTCGGTCATGGTGATCCATCAGATCCTTGTTTGTGTGCGTGTTTTGGTTCCCGCCCCGACCGCTGATCCTTTCCTTCCGCTTCCAACACGACGATAAAATTGTGAGTGCTTGGTTGGTGGAGCCGGCGCCCGTAACCGCCTTGCACATTGGGATCACAGTTTTATGCGAGCGCCACACTTTGCACATTCCACTTAGGGCTACTTTCCCAAGCAGCGTGGTCACCTGGCACATGTGGACGTTACCGGCTGAAGTGTTGTTCTCCCGCATTCCTCCTCCTCCTGTTGCGTTGTAGCGTCTAGTTCTTCTGTTTCTGCTATAATTAGAATATAACAACAAACCGATTTACCGCCAACTTTTTTTGTTTCTTCCTCGCTTCTTTCTTCTGGCTAGAAAACTGACATATATCAATCATGTCGACTTCATCTAGTTCCGCACCTCCAGACGCGGAAAGCATCCGCAAGCAGGCCCAGAGTCTCGGGCGTGACCGGTGGCAGCAAGACCTCGCTGAAGCGAAACAGGAGATGAAGCAAGACCCGAATTGGGCCGCAAAAATGGCAGCCAAAAAAAGAAATGCAGCCGCTACAACCGGGAAACCCGCCAGCTACAAGTCTGCTGCCGAGCGGTATCTGGCGAATCACGGCGACACGGTTTCGAAAGGGTCGCTCGTGGTCACGATCGAACGTGCGGAGAGGCTTGGGTACAGTCAAAAAGAGATGGTTTTGCTCTTTTCCGCGGACAACGGCTTTCTCGATATTTCCGGCTGGTTGGACGTGAAATTTGAGGAAAAACTCCAAGACATCGTCGGCAACTACAACCCGTACGCCATCGACCCCTACGTTTGTTGCGCAGTCGGGATGCAGGACCCGTTTACGAAGAATTTTCAACCGAATAGCCTGTGGAACGCGAAGCACATCAAAAATATCGTCCGCAAGACGAAAGTGTTGGTGAACGAGGGGACCAACCCGAGATGGGAGCATATGGGAGTGTCAGCATTGAAATCGACAAAGTAGTTGAAATAACTTGTAATGCATAAAATCGATACCGGTTGGGAGCCCGATTTCCAAGCGGTGCATGACAAATTTCGGCACCATCTAAATCCAGTCTGTCATGCTGTTTAGGGGCCCCAGAAGGCGTCTTGTATCATGCTACTTCAGCAGCTCTATCGCAGACCCCAAACAGCAGGGTGACAGTCGGCCCCACTTGCCATCCCTGCAAGAGAGGCAATTCATGCCTTGCAATTTATGCATGAGAAATTATTTCAACTTTGTCGATTTCAATCCTGACGCTTCCATAGAGCAGCGACTCCTCTTCCACCCGAACATCACGCGCACAGACTACGTAGCCTGTGCAAAAGTATCGTACTCGTATAAATGCAAGTCTTGCATTACAAATCTTGTTGCCAAGGCAAATCAGCATGACAGATTCCATTTTTCGCGCGGAGAAAATTTGTAATGCATTTATACGAGTACGATACTTTTGCAATTCATATGAAGGATTGGGTACTAGCGATTGGTACTAGAGTAGACGTGAAGCTGCAGCTGATGAAAGGATCTCATCTGGTTGTTAAGCTTTAGCGCAAGTTACAGCTGTGGAAGATGAAAAGTGACCCAGTTAAAATTTTTATCGCCACAAGCTCCAGCGAGCAAGCAAGATTAAATGCCACGAGCTGGAAGGTAGTCTCAGCACAGCAATCAAGCAAAATGTTTATTTTCAATCTGATTCGAAGAACGACAACGAACAACAGTTTTAGTTAGACGACAAGGGTCTATTTTTAGCGAGCAGCGACAGAAAGAGAAACAGTTCAAGTTTTGTATTTGGGAAGTTGTATTCGCCAAGTTAGGGTTGGTGCACCAGGGATGAGTAAGTACGCGCAGTAAGACCAGAAGGGATGACGAGGGTAATTCTAATATTACCGAAGGGGCACCATCAAAGTTGATAGTACGGCTACAACGCTGCAAGAGTTTATAAATTTCTGCGACATTATTTATCTCGCAACACTCATTTCGAGCGGACTGAAATTAATAGTACCCAGCCAGTATCCGCATTGAACCACTGTTGCTCTGACAAGAACAGGTCAAGTCAAGAATAGTAACGACCGACGACCGACGTATTTTTCATTTTTTTAGTATAAGATCTGCATCTGCCGAGCTAAAGCGCTTCCTCGTCGTACTACATTAAAAGTGGAAATTCAACAACCTGTCAGACTATTGGTAGGTTGTACTGGCAAGCCCGCCGGCTTTTTTTCTTATGGCTCCGAAAAAAGAAAGCCTAACGAGCTGCTGAGGGAGATTATTTCGTGTTCCTTCGCTTGACTTCGATTTGATATAGCTTTTCTCGCAAGAATTTTTACGGATTTCGCTGGGGACGTACGAAGAGAAAAAATGGAAAGATGTTAAACGAGTGGTCGACAGTTCTGTGTTGTTTAATTGCTTTTTTTCACCGTCCGAGTTGGAGCTTCGTATGTTCTTGATGTTGATGAAAAGATGATGGTACGTCGAACAAGTAGCTCTACGTAGTTCTACTACCCCCACTGTGTCTGATTGCTGAAGCTTACTTGCTGCATCGAAGAAGCGAAGAAGATTGTTGATAGTATGTACTTAGGAAGAAGACTAAGATTAAGTTGTCCTTGTCCCCGAAAGAGTAGCGCTACTTACCCCAGCTGAAGGCCGCTGAAAAACTACCCTTGTTGTTCCATTAAGTTTGGGTGTCTTGTGTACCTGGTTGCCCCCGCCCTCCTCTGCATCATATGCTGTTGCAAGTACAACATGTGTGATAGATAAGAAAGTGCAGTAGAGTCGAATTTGCTGTGCTTGTAATTAAAATTCCACCCCGTAAGTACCACCCCGCCGAGTGATGAACAAAGTGACGTCGAAGATGTGAAAAGCCTGGTTGTCGTAATTGTGGGAAAAAGAATGTTGCTGTGGAACAAAGAAAGTTGCTGTATCTCAATAGTATTCAGCATTCTGTTGTTGATTGTTGTCGGATAAAAAGAAGCACGCCATAAAGTTCTACCTGGTTTTTTTCTTCTGACACCATTTTTTCTTCTCATCCAAAAACCACCTCTAGCCACGTCTTTTTTTTCCGCCTGGTGCCGAAAAAATAGCAAAACACAATCTGTAATCTCCACCAAAAAACAACCAACAGAAAGAAAAACCAGTGCTTTTGTGCTAAGAAAGTCAAGAGTATAGTAAATACACTAGCGATACGAAAGTCCAAAAAACCAAAACATCACTGTTTCGATAGCTGCAGAAGAAAAATATCCAAGAGGAGTAGAAAAACAAAAATCTCTACCGTTGCAAAAGAACAAAAAAGGAAAACATAAATTTACATTTTTCAACAACTATCCAAAGAACTACCCAAAAAACCTTGAAAATGTCTGTCATGCAAAATTGCAAGAACTACAACACCGATGATGGATTGAATTTTCCATGCAGAATGCGCACCACTATTTCTTTTTCTCCTCCCGCTCCCCACAACGTGTTTGCAGAAAGAAGAAAATACATCATAGAAAATTAACTGAACAAACTCTATCAGATTGATAAGGAGACGGGCAAGGGCAAAACGAGCTCCATCGCCGAACTGTCTCAGCAGTACGAGCATTTGGTCCTCGACTTTTACACGTGCTGGTGCACCAAATGCCCGGATACCGCGAAGGAACTCGAGGGTTTGGCAACCATATGGATTGCAAAAATGTCTGGGTCTGCAAGATTGTAACTTGTCATGCTAAATCCGAATCATGCAAAAATCTGTGTTGTATGAGTGCCAAAAGCTGTCCACTTTCAACCAAGTTGGGAGGAAGTTTCTCATGCAGGATCGATAGGCATGAGAGAGATCCTTTCCATCTACGACGCCGGGTGTTCCTTCCATTCCAAATCTGTCTGGCATGACAGCAAAAACCTGTCATGCGCAAATAGTACGTGAAAACGCCCCTTAAGGGACCCTACTATGCATCCCAAGCATGACAGACGCAATCATCTTGCATGTTGCGCATCACAAATTTACACTATACAACGTTTTTTTCTTGGATACCCGCGGCTCGAACGGGGCCGCCTTGATCTCCATCGGCAACCCCTTGGCGTTCCAGTTGATCGCCTCGTAGAAGTATCAAATGTAAAAATGTCTGGGTCTGGAAGAATGCAACTTGTGATGCTGCATTTGAATTCCAAAAAAATCTGTATTGCATGAGTACCAAAGAAAATGCAACTTTTGCTACGCTGACACGGCATTTGTCATGCGGGATACGCATCAAGAAGCCCTCAAAAAATCTGTATTGCTAGGGTATGCATCACAGACATCATGGCTCATGCAAAACGTGCATGAAAAGTGTCAGAATCTTCCAGACCCAGACATTTTTACAGTTGATAAGAAGTGGCCCCGCTGCGCCTGCACGCCCGAGTACAGGCCGGTGGGACTGCGGGTCAGGTGCGCGATCACGTTCGGCACCGCGTTTTTCAGAGCCCAGTATGATATGTAAAAACGCCCCCACCCCATAGTCAAGTTGGGAACTTAGCAACACAAATCCAGAAGTTTTGGGAGCCACGCATGACAAGCTGCAGTCCGTAGTGTAGTGCATGTTAGCAAGGAAAACCGCATCACAAATCCATCTGCTTATCCTGTTTGCTGCATTACAAATTCCAGAACTCGATTGAAAATGCCCCTCATGGAGATGCGCATTACAAATCTTTCTGTAATCGCAAATCTGCATGACAGCTATGGGGTGGGGATGTTTTTACTCAGGATACCCAGTACCGCATGTTCGCATCCGGGTTGTAGCACTTCTTCCCGTCGTGCACCATGGGCATGTATCAAATGCAAATATGTCTGGGTCTGGAAACTTGTGATGCAAACCAGGGAATACCGGGCGCACTGCCACTGTCATACGTGGCCAAGCATGACACGTTTTTGAGCTGCTATGTGTAGCGTATTCCGCATGGCAGACTGCGCTTTTCCATCACAGACAAAGCGATCTTTTTGCATCTACGCATGACAGAGTTCCGAGACATGTCAGACAAGCATGACAAGTCTGGCAATCTTCCAGAGGACCCGGACAAATTTCCATCTACGACGCCGGGTGTTCCTTCCAGGGCTGCGAGCAGTTCGATTCCTTCTTCGGGTCGAGGGGAATCGCGAGAGCCGGGTAGTACATGTGGATTGCAAAAGTGTCTGGGTCTGGAAACTTGTGATGCTGAGTGGCGAAGCATGAGGATGCCACAAGTGACGGCTCAGCATGACAAGTTTCTGACTACTTGCTACGTGTTATGTATTCAGCATGACAAACTGCGTTTTTGCATGACAGAAAGTTGGGGCTTTTGGGTAACGTGCATGACAGACTTGAGAGACATGCTAGCCGAGCATGACAAACTTCCGCGCTTCCAGACCCAAACATTTTTGCATTCGATAGTACAAGTTGTCCTCCAGCTTGTTGGAGCTGTGCAAGAACAGCGAAAATGGTTCCGGAGGTACTGTCCGGTTGGATTTGAAAGAGTGTACGGCGTCACTAACGGTGCGAAGTACGTCCATACCAACCCGGGCGGGTGGCTGCAGCGGTGGCAGAGCCCGGGGTCGATCTTTGTCAAGGCGGAATGGTTTGACGAGGGGACAGTTATTCCGGAAGAAATCGTTCAGGAGCAGCGGGAAATGGACCGATTCCAGGCATTCGATTTACAGAAACTCGCGGCCGCGATGGCGGAAATGGAGGGGTGGAACAGCAGGGAGAGGCTACACGAAATGCAGGACAGCTACTTGAAGATCTGCTTTCAAGAAACAACTGAGGATAATCTCGTCTTAGATTTATCAAAAGTCGGAAAAAGAGGCCGGTACCACGTCAACATCCCCTTCCAATTCAATATTTCCCACTGCTTGTTCGAGCTCTGTCCGGTTCCGATCCCACATTTTACGAAATTCAAGGCGAAGTTGGATTATTGGAAAGGGTTTTTCGACGCCTTGCTTGTTTCGGAGGAATTTGGAAAAAAAGTGGAAGAGTTTTTACTGGAAAGCGACGCGGATTTAGCCGGGTATACGCGGGAAGGGAAGATGAAGCGAAGGGTCGTAGTGGGAGATGGTGGCGACGCGGAGGAGGATGCATCTGCGTTGTTGTTCGGTGGAGAAGATGCTGATGAGGATGGAGATGTTGAGCAGCAAGAACTCAGAAACAGTGTCGCTGCCGATGAGTCCGAGGTGGATCATGCTGCTCCCGCTGCAAGAACATCAGCCCGTACCTTCAACGACCTTTCCTTCCGGGAGGTGGTTTTCTTCTGTACTTACAGAAGTGCAGAAAATTCTCCAGAACAATGATATCACAACCAAAAACTGGGCCGAGCCAAATACCACCCACCCCTCCGCGGATAATCAGTCGGGACAGAGGGTCAAATTTCTCATCGACCCAGAGACCGAAACCTGGCCTGAGCACGGGATAACTGCAAACTGGGATGAGAAAGATGCGGAAAAAAACGCGATCCCGGAAGGCCAAAACATCGGGGACATTATTGAGGAAAACAATGGTTTTGTTTTCGGATTAGTAGATGCGGATTTCCGCCACTTAGTCCGGCAATTTTGCACGTCATTCTGGGGCGAGCAGGCGATCCTCGCCGTGCACTCGGCCGCCGTGGAACTCGCGTTGAGGGAGTTCAGAACGGTGGGGGAAGTGAACGAAATGGTTTTGGATAATGAGAAACAAAAGACGAAGATGAAATATTTTTCTCTGATTTCCTTACATCCTCTCAAAGCGGAAGACGATGGAATAGCCGGTCTGAAAAACCCGATGCCACTGAAGCCGACCGACATGATCCGACCCCGCAGTTGGGTCATAGACCCGTCGTTGCCGAAGGAAGTTTACAAAGAGCAGGCGTTCAACGGGACGGAATTTTCGTTCCAATCCTTCTCCTTGACCGAGCAGTCGTTAACGACCGGTTTCGCGGCAATTCACATCGGGCCTGTGCAGGCCTTGCGGTTGACCGGGAAAATTGGCATCCGGAGAGTTGACCCGGAAAAGCATATCCGTTATGGGAAAGCGAATATGGATGCTTTGGAACAATGCGTGAACAACAACGCCCGCGCTCCTGCACTCAACATTGCTGGCGGAGGAGAGGAACAGCCGGGGGGTAGATTAGTCTTGCAAAACTTCGGGCAAAGCGAGCGAGAGTTTGGGCAGCAGAGAGTGATTGTGGCAGAAGACATAGTGCTGGACGGGGAAGTGAAAAATCTAGAGAAGACGATTTCCCCATTTGGGGAGGTGGAAAGGACGACGTTCTCGCAGCCTCGCAGCCAATTGGATTTTCAGACGCAGCAACAAACTGCGTTGAAAAATTTCATCAAGTCCAGCTACAATTGGACCGGCCCCTGTCGAACCTCGTACAGTGATGGGGAAAATGGCGCGTTCACCTGTTCGCTGTTTTTCGAGCCGAATGGGAAACTGCAGGAGCTGGGGATCCCATATGAAATCTACGTGGAGGAGTTTGACGAAACTGAATTGGCGGATTTGGAAAAAAACCGGTACAGCAACAGCCAAGATTTTGACAAACGTATCGAAACCGGGATCCGAATTGAAGTGGGGTTTTCCGCCGACGATTCGAAGACAGAGGCGGAAAAGAACTTTGAGACGAAGACTCACGCGTTGGGCTACCCAACGGACGCAAACAAGCGGGGGTGGGGCCACCCGGATTTGTTTCCGCAGAAGGGTCGGAAAGGCGGAAATTGCGGAGCTGGGTGTGCGATTATGTGAGGTTTGGATATCATTATCGGTGCCCATTATGTGTGAGCCTTTTTCTTGAGCGCTTTTAGCGCACAAGTACACTTCCGCCTGCGCCGATCTCCCAAACCAAGAACTTGTCGTTCTGTCCTGTAGTTGATGTTTTGGACGAATAATAATTCGTACCCAATGTACGTGTAGCTGTAGCGCCTTGATGGATTCTTTTTCGTTTTGATGCCGTGAAAGCACACTGCACACCCTTCATCTACGTGAATTTCATGTCCTGAAATCGCAACAGACATCGCGTTAAATCTCTGCTCTGTCAACCGCAAAGAAGAAGGTGTTCTTGACCACTTTCTCGTGTGCTTATCTCTGTCAACCGCAAACACCAAGGCATGTAGTTCCCGGATGAAAGGATAAGAAATAAATCGTCGGGCGCCGGCTTGATAGTAAGTAGAACAACTCGTCGCACGACGCCATGCAATCTCGTTGAACAGGTACAACGTCGTAGTCACGACAAGTAGAGTTCTCTCATCAAGATCGGTAAGAACCACATCGTGTGCCAATCTGCTTTTTGCAGCTGATCGTCGTAGCAATTCGTCTTCCCTGGTGCAGAAGATCACAAATTCGTGTCACAACAACTTGCATCGTCACCAAGTGTCGCTTCGTCGTATTTTGAGTTTGAAGGGAAGATCGTACGTAAGGAAAAATAGAAGCTCTTTGATCGTCGCTTGTCTAGTACTACAAACAATCTGCCACTAGCGTTTTTTTTTTTCGAGGATGACGCGCTATTGAAGATCATTTTGTGGTATAACATAGAGACCACTGCATCAGTTTGAATACAGTCAAGAACCAATCAAAATGGCCGACGTCGGCGTAGCGCCGGGCTACGCTTTCCGCGGCGGCGACGCGACTGCTGCGGCCAACGGGGTCCGCGATGCGGTCCGCGGTTTCGACTTCGCCAGGGTGGACGCGAGTCGTTTCACCTGCGATTACTTCGCCAACCTCGCCCAGTCCTACGTGAATCGGGGGGATACGAAGGGGTTGATCACGGTCACCGAGATTGTGAAGACCAACTTCCCGTCCGATGAGATCAATCTGAACTTCAACTCCGTCGTCTCCCGGCCGCGACGGACGCTGGACATGGCGGAGGTGCATGTTCTGCTCGCGGTGTTGATGAACAAGCTAGGGGAATTCGAAAAGACCGAGCAATACGCAAAATATGCGATCGGGCTCACAGATTTCCTATTCGAAATGATCCGCAAGATCAAGCGGGCGAACAAACGGATTGAGATGGACGAAGTGAAGTACCTGTCCGGCATGTACGACATCGACCGGATCTGGTACGACAAGGTGGTCCACGTTTCCTGCACGGCGCGCGAGGTTCTCGGCTGCGAGCAAGCCAGGCAGAACCGCGTCGCGATGGCGGGGAAGGTGGAGCAGATGCAGAGGGACTTCCTGCACAATATCCTGTGCAAAAGTATCGTACTCGTAGTAATTGCAGTCATGCATTACAAATCTTTTTCTTAAGCTAAATCCGCATTACAAATTTCATTTCTCATGCTGAAGAAATTTGTAATGCATTTATACGAGTGCGATACTTGTTTTGCAATTCATGCACAAGCTCTCCATGCAGTTCGCGGGCGCGTATGGCGAATTGAAGAAGGAACTCCGGGAGCGGGAAATCGACCGGTTGATCAAAACCAGGAAAAGGTGGAGCAAAAGTCGAAAGTTGCTGAAGGTGGTGAGGAAAACGCTAAGCGCGGCGAAGGCAGTGGAACAGACCCAGACGGCGGCAGAGAATAAGGCTTTGCGGGAGGAAAAGGAGAAAACGCAAGCGGAAGATGGCGTTCCCTTTTTGGACGCACCGCCGGCAAGAGGGGCAGCAGGAGCAGGAGCTCCTGGTGGGGCGGATATTACGACCACTGCCACTGATGTCGTTGAGCAAGCTGCTGCAGTTGAGGGAGCGGAAGCTGCTGCAACTACAACTACTGCTACGACTACTGCTGTTGATGCAGAAGGGCCGGGTGCAGCTGCAAACGCGTCATCTGAGCAGGCCGCGCCTGTAGAAGCAGCAGCTACAGAGGAAACTGCAAATAAACCTGCGACTACAACTGTTGAATCTGAAGCCGCAGCGCCTGCTCCTGCAGCAGAAGACGACGCACAACAAGCAGCCGCACCTGCAGTTCTTCCGGAAGAGGCCGCAGAGGCGGGTACGACCGAAGCCGCCGCTGAAACCGAGGCTGCGGTGGAAGGAGAAGATCAACCAGCGGCCCCAGCAGAGGGTGAGCACGCTGGTATCGATGAGCAGCCGGCAATGACTGCGACAGAGGAAGCAACCGGTCCACCTGCTGTTGAGGAGGCGGAAGGGGAAGTAGCAGCTGCCGCTGCTGCTCAAGCGGAGATGAACAAGGCAGAAGATGAAAGTGCACCTGCTCCTGAGGCAGAAGCCGCAGCTGCGGATGCTGGTGGCGAAAATGCTCCCGCCGCGGCAGAGCCAGAGGAAGCGGCTGCAACGGCAGTGCCAGTGGTCGAAGAGGAGGCACCAGCGCCGCCAGAGGAATCGCCCGCAGAAGCTGCCGCTCCGGATGAACAGGAAGCTGAGCAACAAGGCGCGGAAGCTCCTGCTGTCGAGGGTGACCACGAGGCGCCGGGGCAAACCTCCGCTGAGGAAGGGGCGAATGAGGGCGAAGCTGCAGAGGAGGCTGCAGGTATAGTTTAGAGGCTGTGCAACAATTGGACCCCCTTTCGACAGGTCGAAAGGGGGGGGGGGGTAGGTAGGTCGACAGCCGGAAACCGGCGGCCGGCCCGCCGATGTGTGGGTGGGGGTCCGGCCCCACAACGGCCCGTGGCTCGGTCGCCGGCTCCTCCGGCACTGGTCGGAGGCCCGCCTTTGCTTGTGTGCAGGCACTTATCCACAGCGCCGGGCTTCACTACAACTCCGACAAGGAACAAAGCGCACTCCGCTTTGTTCTTTGTCGGAGCAGCGAGCCACCGAAACCGGCCCCGCGCAGCATGATACTGGAATGGCCTCAGCTTACGCACTGGCCCACAGCTCTACTTTTTGGAGGGTTGCGCCGTGACCTGCTACGCCCTGTTCCTTTTCACCCATCACGGGGCACAGCAGGCGCGAGCCCTGCCTTTCACTCCGCCGATTTTCCGTCGGGAAAGGGGTTCTGTTGCATGGCCTGGCGCGCGATACGAGACCGCGCGCCATCCCATGGCGGGTCATTTTATTCTGGCCGGAATGGTGCAGAAGCAGATGTTTTTTGCAATTGACTCACAACTAGGCTCCGCGATTCTGATAGTAGATCGCAGGACCGCATCCGGCGAAGCGACTTTTTTGGCTGTGTGGCAACGACGACCACAGGCGGACTTCGTCGCAGAAATTCAGAAGTCCGGCCTAGTGGTTGCCCACTATGGCGGATTTTATTAGACTGCTTTCATCATAGTGGTAGCCCGCCTATGTTCGTTTTCGCTTCGTTCGCCGCAAGCCTTTGGCAAATGAATAAAGGCGAAGTCGCGGCGGTTTTCCTAGCAATTTAACCACAGCGGGCGCGCGCAGCGCGCCCCGCGAAATTTTTTTTGCAGGCAATGTAAAGCACACGCGCGTGGCTCCTAAAATTTTTTTTTTACAAAGACTAGTTCGCGAAGGGAGTGGGCAATATACCGGCACCGGGCGCGCGCAGCGCGCCCCGCAAAATTTGCAAGCAATGTAAAGCAACACACGCGCGCAACGTAGCTGCACCTCGGGCGGCGCGTGGGGCCTAAAGTTTTTTACTAGTTCGCGAACGAAAGGGGCAATGTACCAGCACCGGGCGCGCGCAGCGCGCCCCGCGAAATTTTTCGCAAGTAGGCCGCGATCCAAGCAGGAAAGGCCGGGGAGCGCCTTGAGCAGGTGTGCGTAGCGCACCCCACACAGCCCATCTTTTAGAAACTGGGGACGCTTGTCGAAAGGGGGGGGGGAGGGGGGAGGTAGGTCGCCAGCAGGCCGCTGACCCCCCTTTCGACACGTCGAAAGGGGGTCCAGTTTTTGCACAGCCTCTTATACCTCTGGAGGTGACGATGACGATGTTGAAAAAATAGTACGTCGCTGATTATACTTATGCGTCTGCGTGATGTGTTGAAGCCCGTTCTCCTGATTTGCATGAAGTTGAAAAAAGAAATACGAGCAGAGCTACTAGCTATAGACTTCAACTCGGTGTTCGTGTTCGTATCACAGAAATCAAAATTTTATCACAGCCGCGGCCGCAGAGCCGGCTGCTCCGGCGTTAGCTGAAGGCGCTCCCACTGCTGCAGCCACAGCAGCTGCCAGCACCGGCGACCAAGTTGCTGACGAAGAACCCGCCCGCGATCTGTACGACCCGCTCCACAAGAGATTTGACTCGCAGGAGATGCGAAAATTTTCCGAGATCGGCATTGGGGACGGAATTTTAGAACCGGAGGAGGGGGAGCAATTTGACGAGCTCGACTACGACCTCCAGGATGTCGACACCTACGCCCGCGAGGGTCTCGGCTCGCTCCTCGACGAGGTCCGCGGGCCGGGCGTTCAGAAGGAGTACAATTTCAATTTCGAATTCGAAGATGAGGAGCCGGAACGGGAGTTTTACGAATCTTCCGGCGAATCGTCGACCGATGAATCGGAGTTGGAAGCGGGGTTGCAGAGGTTAATGGGCGGCGACGGCGGACCGGTGCAGGAGCATGTGGAGGAGGAAGATCCGTTCACACAACTTGTCAAAGCCGGTGGGAAAATCCCGCGGGACCGGATCTGGGAGTTGCTATCCCACTATTTCGAGGTCGCGGGCCTCGGAGATCCGCGCGACGAGTTGGAGCGGTTGCAAATGAGCATGGACAGCACGATGAACCAATCGGTTAACTTTTTGACGAAGAATTGTCAGTCGTTAGCGGACCAAGTCGAAGCGATCGCGTCCAACTGGTTCGACGCCCCATACGAATCGGCCGAGGACATCAAGAACATGGGGCGAATCCGTGCCGCCGGCGGCGATGTGGAGAAGTACAAAAGAATGATGGCGAAGCGGAAGAAAGAGGAGAAAAAGACCGCAGCGGCCGACAAGTACCTCGGTGCACCGCATCTAGCGAAACAGCACGAGGTGCAAACGGGGCGGATCACGTATGAAAGCCTCAGGTTGGAAATCCTCAAAGTGGAAATGATTTGTAATGCAAAAAAACGAATCCAGTTGAAGCGCCATTTCTAGTCGGCGCATAACAAATTTTCCGGGCACTCAAAGCATGTCTGTCATGCTAGGTAGGCAAAGGGGTGCCCTTCTCTCGTGCTAATCAGCAGCCCAATTCTGAACCCCTAGCAGGACAATGGTCGGTCTCCATTGTGTCCTATGCAATACAGTCTTTTTTGCCTTGCATTTCATGCATCACAAATTATTTCCACTTTGACGATTTCCATTCTGAGGCCTTCATATCACGGCGATCGTGAACGGGCAGAAGAAGCACACGGAAAGGGTCGTTATCAAAACGAAAAATCCCCCCTCCCCATATCGAAAACGAAACTTGTGATGCGGGATTTGTGTACACAAATCGGCTTCGTCTTGCAGTAGAGGACTGCAGACAGATACAAAGCCGGAGTAGGGGCGTTTTGGTGTAGGCGCTTAGGAAGGCAGGCATATCCTCCGTAGGCCCTACAGCATTACAAATCGCCTGCAGGGCGCAGCGGGGTTTTTGGTTTTGCCTGCTTGCAATACAGAGACGGTTTGTGGATGTGGTCTCCAATCAGCATCACAAATTTTCCCCGTTTGGTTTAATGGGGAGGGGGGATTTTTCCTCGCAGTAGTCGTGAGTAAAAACTTCGCGGAGGCGGATGAAAGGATGTGGACTTTGGCGGAAGCGTTGTGCGATCTACTCGTGCAGGTGAAGCGCAAAGGTGCGGACGGCCGGGCGAAGGCGCGAGAGGTTTTGGGTGGTGGCGAATCGTTTTTATCCCCCATGCGGAAGAACTTGCAGTTACAATTGGAGATGGACCCGATGCAACTGCACCCGGGCGCGACCTTCTACTACCGCGCGAGCCCCTCTAGCAGTCGAGGGCTTGGTAGTCCGAAGAACGCGCACTTGCTGAAGAAAAAGGAATTGCTGGACAGAGTGGCAGATCAAGCGGCGGCCGCGACAAGTCCGGAGAGTTCCGCGCCGCCGAGTCCGAAGCGGAGGTTATCACCCGAGGACATAATTTTCTTGTCTCTGAGACAGCGTGTGATTCCCAGATCGGAGCGCGAGATTGTGATCAATGTCCGGCTCGAACCTCCGGAGAAGGGCACGGTGCGGCCGGCGCCGGACGAGCCGCTGTGGCTGCCCAAATCGCCGGCGAAATCGCCGGAAAAGTCGGCAAGTGGAACGGCAAGTGTGGCGCAGAGTCCAGCGGGGAAGCCATTGAGTCTCCAGTCCCTTGGCAAAACGGCATCCACCGTGAAATTCATGACTGGTGGGAAACCCTTCGCGTTCGGCGCGTCACCGACCGCGCCGGCGACCGGGGTGCAGGTGGCCACAGGAACAGCGGCAAATGGTGCAGCAAATACTGCCGACGTTGCTCCCCCGGCGCCGCGACCTGGCTCTCCGAAGGGAATTCTCGCCTCGCCCAGCGCAAAATCACCGAAGCACCAGAACAGCAGCACCGGAAGTCCGTCAAACCGCGGCACTCCAAGTGGTCATCATCATCATCATCACGGCAACCAGCAGCACCAAGAGGCTGTCGGCGCCTCTTACCTTCGCGCCTTGCGTCGCATCGCTGACGAAGCGACCAACCCCCCGCCGAAGACGAAATTTAGGCAGCAGAGGACGAGGAACAACAATGGGGACTTGGGTTTGTCCGCGGCACAACAATTAACCGTGTTGGACCGCTTCCACCGCGGGGAGAAGCAGTTTGTGAAGCTGAAAGACGCGCACTTCTACCCGAGGAACGACCATACGGAGAAGAAGCCGACGATTGCGGCGATGCTGGCCGGGCAAACATCAACGTACAACTCCGCGACGCAACAACAGTTCAGTGCCACAGGGCGGTCGAGCTCGCAATTCTTGCACACGGCGAGTACCACGGTTGCGGACGGGAGGTCGATGTTAACGGCTACTTCTGCAGATAACTTCACCAACTCGCTGATGTCGACTACCGCGATCTGGAACAACCAACAGAGATCTGTCGACGGAACGAATACAGATGCAGCAGCTCAGAATAACAGCCTGCACCAACAGTCTCAGTCTTCCTTCCGATCGACGACTTTGTCTTCTTCCATTCTGCAACCGCAAATGAACAACTCGATGAGCATGACGAATTTCAGCTTCTACGACGAATCCATGCTGTCCGAAAATGATCGGGGTTTATTCGATGACTTAGAAGAGCAAGAGGAGGACAGTGACGAGGAGAACGAAGTTGCTGCACAGCTGGAAAAGCGGGTGATTGAAAAGCGGAAACGACGAAATTTAGTCAGGAAGCCAAACTACTTCACGAAACAATCCCGCTGCTTCGAGAACATGCGATCAGCGAGGTCGGCGACACTTTCTTACCCGATCTTCTCCGAGCCGGTCTTATTCGTCCCCGAGCCCCTGCGTGACAACGTGCAATTGAAAGACGCCCAGATAAGGCGCAGGTTGAGGAAGTACCAAACCGACGGCGCAGCGTTTGGCTTAACAAAGTTCATGAAGCCGAGGGAAAAGGATAAAAAGTCCGTGAAGGGAATTATGTTCGGACTACGAGTCTCCTCGTTAGTGAACGTCGCAGCAGCGAAGTTCAAGGCGAAAGGGTTGCTAGACAACACGTACAAGACGGGGCAAGGCGTGTCGCAGTATTTGGATAAGGTGGCGCAGGAAAGGATGAAATTAGAGAAGGAGAAGCAGGGGAAGCAGGAAAAGCAGGGCAAACCGTCGAAATATGGAACTGTCAGGTTTGAAATCGTCAAAGTTGAAATAGTTTGCCATGCATAAAATGCAGCGCAGAAAGTGCCTGTCTTGCAGAGTAGGCAAGGGGGGCAGATTGTGTGCCTGTTTCGGGGTAGAAATAGAGCTGCTAAAGTAGCATGGCAAAAGGCGTCTTCCTTACCCAAACAGCATGACAGACTGGATTTCGGCTCTACCCAAATTTGTCATGCGTCACTTGGCAACTGGGTTGCAACTTTCATCCATTTTCTGCATTACAAGTTATTCCAACTTTGTCGATTTCAATCCTGACACATCCATACGAAAGCGGACGTGTTTAAAAAGGAAACGAAGATGGCACAGAGCAGAAGGGAGTTACTGTTATGCATTGCAAAAGTATCGTAGTAGTATAAATTGCATCACAAATTTTGGCAAGAAGGAAATTTGTATATGCTGTTTTGCATTAGGAAAAACATTTCAATTTGTCATGCATATTTGCAATTAGTACGAGTACGATACTTTTGCACAGGATCACTGTCGATTTTCGACAATTTCCGGCGGCACAGCAGACGGCTGAACTACGAAATGTCGTTGCTCACACCCGACTACTTATTCGACAACGTGTTCCTTTACAGCAATTTCTCCTTCCCGATGCTGCGAAGGAAGGCGATCAAGCAATTCGAGCGGGAGATGAAATTACGCGTGTACATGCGGAAACCAAGTGAATTGCTGCTGATCCAGAAGAAACTCTCGAGTGGTTTCCGAAGAATGAAGGAAGACCAGTTGTCGATCGATCACCGACGGATGTTGCGCGACATCGGGCGGATGGGAGACTACAAAGAGTACCGGCAGAGGATATGCAGTGCAAAAGTATCGTACTCGTATAAATGCATTACAAATTTCCTCAGCATGAGAAAAAAATTTGTAATGCTGATTTACTTTAAGGAAAAGATGCATGATTGCAATGCGAGTGCGATACTTTTGCACAGGATAGAGGAAGCCGCGGAATGAGTTACCGCTAGATCCGGAAGAGCTCGCGATGTATATGGCGTTCTCAAATGTTACATTCTGCTCAACTGTTACATGATTTGTCATGCAAAATGAGCATCAACGTCCACACAGTGAAGCTGCCTCGCATGACAAATTTTGGAAGGGCTAAAGCTAAACAGCATGGGAATCTGTGCCGAATTTGTAATGCAAGAGTTGCAAGACCCCGATCCGGCCTTGTTTCCTGCCTGTTGCCATTCTTGCATCACAAATTCATGTAACAGTTGAGAATGTAACAATTGAGAATCCCATAATGTACGAGCAGCAATTTGAGGACGCGCCGTTGATCGATGCCCACCCGAAAATGCCGGACGAGAAGGTCTTCTTCGTGAAATCTCGGGCGCAAGCACCCGACTATGGAAGCGTGGTCAGGATTGAAATCATCAGAGTTGGAATAGTTTGTGATGCATAAAATGCAACCAGCAAAATACCTGTCTTGCCGACTAGGCAAGGGAGGCAGATTGTAAGCCTGTTGAGGGGTAGCAATAGAGCTGCTAAAGTAGCATGAAAAACGGCGCCTCTTTACCCGAACAGCATTACAAACTGGATTTCGGCTTTACCCAAATTTGTCATGCGCCACTTGCAAACTAGGCGCCAACTGGTATCCAATTTATGCATGACAATATCATTTCAAGAACTTTGTTGATTTCAATCCTGACACACCCATACCGACCCGTCAGCGGATAAAAACAGCGGGCAGTTGGGGAAACGGCCGGAAAGGATGAAGGACAAAGAACCCAAAATCCGGTACATTTGGCGGGACAAACCGGACGTGCCGTTGGTGGTTCCGCGGATCGCGAAGGCGGAAATTGAGGAAAAACAGGCGAAACAGGCGATTGACTACGCGAAGGTGAAGCCGGAGGCGAAGAAGGTGTTGCGGATTCTACACGAGGATATGGTCCCGACCTACTATAAGAAGGAGAAGGAAGCCGAGAAAGCGATCATCAAATCCTTGTCCTACCGCGTGATGCGGTCGAAATCCGGATACGACGACGCGTTTTTGTCCGACTTAGACGAGGAGGAGGAAGAGGAGGAGGACGAGGTGTTCGATGAGGATATGGCTGTGTGAATAAATCACGTTTCTTGCAATGTACGTCAATTTGCCATGCAAGGGTGCTGCCCAGAGAAACAGATACAGGTTCAGGTCAGGAGACTTTGTGTCTACTACTATGTATTGTGCATGACAACTTGATAATTGATAATTGTCCACGTGTAGTACTAGTTGGTGATTTGTTCACCCCCGATATCCGAAGAGCAGATGCGGTTAGCAGCAGAGGCGGAACAGAAGGCCAAGATATGGGGTTCTCAAACGTTACATTCCCAACTGTTACATGGATTTGTCATGCGAAAGCAGCATCATCATCCTCACGATCAAGCTGCTCCGCATGACAAATTTGCGAAAAGCCAAACCGCGCCTAAATCTGTGCCAAATCTGTCATGCAAAAGGCGCAATCTTCCCCCTTTCAGTTTTGCCATTCTTGCATCAGAATACTCATGTAACAGTTGAGAGTGTAACAGTTAAGAACGCCATGCAAGATGATCGAGAAGTATGGTGCGGACGTGGCGGAGAAATTGCTGAAGGCCCAGGAGATTGAAGTGGTGGAATTCCTGCCGCCGATCGACCCGCGGGAGGAAACGGATGTTTTCTACTCGAAGTTAACCGCCCACGCCCGGAAAATGGAGGAGGATATGACAGTGCACAACTCCCCCTCCCCCTCATTTGTCATGCAAAATCTTAAATCCAGTCGCTCTCGCTGCCTTGTGGCACTGTTTGCATGACAAGTTCTGGCAGTGGCTGCCCAAATAGCACTACACTCCAGTGTCAATTTGTCATGCAAAACCGGCATTCTTGCTGATGCTTGTGTTGCCGTTCATGCTATACAAATGAAGGGGAGGGGGAGTTGTGCAAGCTCATAGAGGACGGGGAAGTGTCCAAATCGAACTGGAAGTACCGGCTGTCCGCGAGTCAGATGATGTATCCTGTGCAAAAGTATCGTACTCGTACTAATTGCAAATATGCATGACAAATGTTTTTCCGAAGGGAAAACAGCATTACAACACCCTTCTGGCCAAAATTTGTGATGCAATTTATACTAGTACGATGCTTTAGCTTTTGCAATCCATATGATGCGGAAGAAGGCAAAACTGGTCTCCGCTTTAAACATATCAGATGCAAAAACGCCTGGGTCTGGAAGGATGCGAACTTGTGATGCATAGTACTTGGATCACACAAAAATCTGTCATGCTTAAACAGGAACGGGAGCTCCTTCTCCTGTCGCCGAAAGAAGGCGTGGAAACCGCCTCAAAACCTTTGATGCTAGGCCTTGCATGGCACACCTTCCGTGTCAAGCACACACAGCATCACAAAACTCAGCAATCTTCCAGACCCAGTCATTTTCGCAATGCATAAAACAAAGCGATGTCTACGGACGACGGGGAGGAGGCCTACGAAGACGAGGAGACTTATGGGAGTGTCAAGATTGAAATCGTCAAAGTTGAAATTATAGTTTCTCATGCATAAAACCGATACCAGTCGGAAGCCCACTTCTCAAGCGGCGCATGACAAATTTTCCGAGCACCGGAATCCAATTTGTCATGCTGTTTGGGCAAATAAGACTGCTTTTGTCATGCTACTTTAGCAACTCTATTTCAAACCCTAAACAGTCTCACAGTCGGCCTCACTTGCCATCCCGGCAAGAGAGGCACTTCATGCCTTGCATTTTATGCATGACAAACCATTTCAACTTTATCGATTTCAATCCTGACGCTTCCATAAGATCGCGGCCGCCAAAGACGCCCTGCTACCCGGAGATCTTGCCGGCAAAGAGTTGAAAGCGGAGGACAGGAAAGCGGCGAAGGAGCAGCAGAAAGCGGCGGGGGGTCGGGGTGGGCGGATGAAGGTGCCGAAGTTTGTCCGGGAGGGGTTCTTATCAAGTGCAAAAATGTCTGGGTCTGAGAGAATGCATGTTTGTCATGCTTGTCTGGCATGACACTTAAATCTGTCATGCACGCTACCCAAGAGCTCCATTTTTCTGTGATGCAGAAACGCAGTTTGTCATGCAGAATAGGCAACACCTACAAGCTCAGAAACTTGTCATGCTGAGCCAGCACTTGTGGCCTCATCATGAGACGCCACCCAGCATCACAAGTTTCCAGACATCCAGGGATTTTTACATTTTATAGTTCTACCGTTTTTTGGCCAAGGAGATGGGCGTCGCGAGTTACCGGATTCCCCGGGACAACTCGGCGAAGATGGTGAAATTGATGTGGAACGTCTACGAGGAATCGTACGCTAGAACGTTGTGGTATCCACAGTAAATTTCCCGTACCGCCGTACACATGCGGTCTCTGCATGACAAAACTTGGCTTCGATCCTAGTCTAGCATGACAAGTTTTACGCTTCAAATTGGTGAAATTTGTGATGCATCTTGTACATGTGCGGGAAACTTGTATTGCATATGTGGCAGCAGGGCGTGGAAAAATTCGGACCGAAAATCATCGCGACCGCGGTTTCGAACCCGGCGGAGGCGGAGCATTTCAAGAAGATCATGATGAAGTATGGGCTCGCGCAGGGGAAGAAACTGCGGGTCGCGATGAGCTCCGCGGGCGTGTTCCAAGACGTCGCGTCCCCGGCCGTGAAAGCGAAACAGGAGGAAGCTCTCAAAAACGCCACGGAGGACGATGACACGGAGCACAAGGGGGCGGATTTGTCCTTCCGGATGGATTTGCTCAAGGGCGCGCGGAAAGCGACAAATGAAATCGCCGAGGCGCAGGCGGTATGCACTGCAAAAGTATCGTATTCGTACTAATTGCAGTTATGCATTTACAAACGTAGGCTGTTAAGGTAAATCCGCATTACAAATTTATTTCGTAATGCTGAGCTCATTTGTATTGCAATTTATACTAGTACGATACTTTTGCAGTTCATAGGCGGAACAAACCGCGGCGGCCGAAGCGGCAGATGAGGCTGGGGACGGGGCGGAAGAGCAGTAGTTTAGTACTTCTGTGAAGGTGGGAGCAACAAGCAGACCATCAATTTTTCGGTAAAAAACCGCCTGACTGCAAATTTTAATGTGATCGAAGTCCGTCTAATGAAATGACAATGCTTTACGCACCATCAAGCCACGAGCGTGTCGTGCGCTGATGTTTTATCAATCTCATCCTACTAGTAGTGGCAGGATAACTTTTATGGACTTGCAAATAATGTCTTTCAGCAGGCTCTAATACAGGATACAGTTGTTATTTCAATTTCATACAGTTTATATATAATCTTTGTTTCATATTCATCGACGTATTATACCATCGTGAATCAGATAGGACGCAGAAAGCTTTTGCCATCGTGATCGTTTTGTAGACTTCGACTATGCACACGTAAGTACAGCAAGATGTTGCGAACTCAGACCGACTGTTGATTGATCCTTACCGTATTTCCAAGAACAAGTTTCGAGATTCTGTTCCAGATTGCCAATTGTTTCAATTTACTTCGCATCTATGTTTCAGTCTATTATTTTTCTACTTTACACTTACAGGAGCAGCGTTTGTTTGAAAGTTTTACAACTAAATTTGTGTTGTGGGGTTAGCTCGTAGGAGAGTTTTGTTTCTAGTTCAAAAATTCAAGTTTGACACTTGTATCAGGCACTTTGAATTGTTGTACCATCGACTTGTGTTGTTTCAAATGTACACTAATCTCCAGTAATGAAGACCGAGCGACTGCAGGAGCAATGCGGCTATGACAGTAGTTGACCACGAAATTTTCTGTATACCAATACTTCTGAAAACCAAAAACATAGATTGCTGCCACTTCTGCTTTTATGGAACTTATCGGAGGTGGTGCCCTGCTCTGGATGTTGATCTAACCGTGTTTTATTCTTCTCTTGGTAGCCGCAGCCGCAGCTAGCTGCAGGATGATCACGTTTTTTCGTTTCCGATCAAGGCAGATCCACATTGCACGCACGTACGGTCAACAAGATCATGTTGTGTGCGATCACAAGGGGGTTACCAGGTCATGTGCTTCAGCAGGAGTCTCAGCAGGCCGCGTGTGAGTAGCTTCCATTCCAGTACCGTGTCTGTGCCTTCAGACTATGATTGAACTTGCTCGGAGGGCATGAACACGATAAGCACAGGAGTTCTCGTCGGCGCTTTCAATTTACTTTACGAAACCATACTGGAACAAACTGTGTCGTGATAGACCCATATCAAGAGTTTTTGACATTTTCCTCCCACGATAACTACCTGCTCCTTCGGATAATTTATAAAAGATGGGCAAAAGCAGTAGACATCACGACGATCTCTTGAGCGATCGTCCGTCCTCAGAGCGGACGAATCGCCCCAGGGGAGCTCGATCAATCGCTACAACAGCGGACATCATGGCTGGCGGTGGCGACGCCAAGAAGTCACCCAGCAAAAAAACGAAAAAGCAGTTGCGCTCGGTGTCGACGTCCAGAGAGTCTTCAGTGAAAACTATCTGCACCAACAGCGCGGAGGAAGGAGATGAACGACAGCGCCAGCGGGAATTGCGCGACAGAAAAAACACGAAGTGTAGTGAGGTAAGAAGTGTGTTTCTTGGTCGCGCTGGATGCAGTTGAAAAGAGTCTTCTTTTCGATTTCAAGATATTTTTTCTCATAAGAAGTGGTGCCTTGATGGTGGAGTGCAAGAGAATGTAATGGTCAAATTCGAATAGATAGATTTTCACTGGCTGCAAGAGAAGAATGACCTCGGACTCCTCGGGAAATATGCAAAGCTATCCGCAAGAACGTCATTGTCTTTGTGATTCCTGACAGACGAAGCGGGTCGCGGCCACCTTTGATTCCAGCTCGCCATCACCAACGCGACAACAAGATGGCGATGGGCTCCAGCAGCTACAAGATTTAGAAGACCGCGCCAGCCGCTACGGGCGTAGGAGCAACGCTGATGCTGCAAGCCGTAGAACTACTACCCAAAGAACTACTACAGTTCGGGCCCCGGTGGACAGCAAGAAGGAACGAAATAAAACCCAGCGCAAGAACAAGTACGACCACGAATACCAATACGACAGCGTACTTGACGAAACGACTCGGAGCGCTACGATAAGCGGTTCTTCCCGTGAAAAGAAGAAAAAGAAAAAGAAGGACAAAAGAACCTGTTCCGAATGGAGGTCAAATTGTTCACGAAGTTCTCCTTCGGCTGACGAGAGAGGAGATGGACGAGCCTATCGACAACCTCCTTATCAGGAACGGTACGATCCTGGTGCTGACGATCGCGGCTCAGGCGGACGCGGTAACAGCCAGCAGGGCTTGTTTCAGGAGCACTTGGATGCCAGGAGCAGCAGAAGCAGTCGTGCGACTTTCAATGAGAAAGACAAAAAGAGGAAGAAGCAGAAGCACGACAAGAAAACGCGGAAAAGGTAAATACTGAAATTTCATCATCCATCTTGTTCTAAGTAGGATTTTCTTTTCCCTGAAGCCGGCCTGCTAGGTACGACAACGACTTGTTGCTATTTCTACTTTATCTCGAAAGAATACGGTAAATCTAAATGTTATTTCGCGTCTTCTACTGTCCTACTTGCGATGAGAAGCTCAACACAACTCTTCAGTCTTCTTCTTTCATCACGACAGGCATTACGATTCCGGGAGTGATTCCAACTCCCTACCCGCAGGCGAGCGCGGCGTCCACCCAGCGAGGACGCATCAAAGCGAGGAGAGCGACGCCCAGTCCTCGAGGCGGGACAGTCATATCGATTTGAATTCCCTCTCGCACGCGCTCCCGCCCGGTGCGCACCCACTAGGGGAATCCTACGGCACGGCGCTGAATGCGTCCGCGGTGACCGGATGGGACTACCGATCGGAAGTTCATCGTAAGAACCCGCCTGCTGCACCATCTAGGTGGGCGGGCAGTAGGAGGAGCAGTCCTGATTGGGGTGAAGACCGTGGTGAGAACAGGGGGGAGAGGAAGAGCAAAAAGAAAAAATCCTCGCGCCACAGTTCCCCTTCCTCGTTTGCCTCGAACAGGAGCAGCAAGCGCGACTACGACAAGAAAAGCAGAAAGACGCACCGGCAGCGCTGCAGCACCATTCGCGAATATGGGTCACAGGACGAGGGTGCTGACGATTATATGGAGGACCACTACGATCGCGAACCAGGACAACTCCGCCGCGGGAGCGGGAGACGGCGCAGCGACAGTGTTGCCCAGCCGCCCGCGCTGCCGACCTCCGGTCCGGTGGCAGCTTGGGAGAAGATACGGTTTCTAGCCCAGAAACACGAAGTTACTGACGAAGTTTTTCGCGAACAGAGGGAGTTCACCCAGTTTTACGGCCTGGTCTACGAAATAGATGTGGTAAACAAGGACTGCGCGGAGGCGATGTATCGCTACTTCCTGGTGACGTGCAAACTTTGCAGCAAACAAGCCAGCCACACGTATGAATATCGAAGATGATTCTTTGCTTGGTTTTATCTCCGACTGGTTAGTTTTTTTTGCAATGTTCTTCCTTGAGTAAGAAAGTAGAAGTACTCATGGAACTTTTTTCAAGCACCAGTTAATCTTACTTGCCTGTCGCATGCAAAGCGCACTGATCTGATCGCAGGACGCATCTGGATAGCAAGGACCACAAGCGCCGGATGGAAAACTTTCTTGCGATGACGTACAGCGGCAGCTATAGTGCCTACGCTGCGAGCGAGCAGTATTGTCCCGAAGTACCGCGAGAGCCGTATGTGCATGACGGGCACCAATACAACAACCATCCGAGCAGCAGCACTAGAGCAGGAACCGCTCCAAGCGGAGTCACGCAATCTGAGCCACGCTACGGACGTCCCCGCTGGGCTGGACCAGCACCAGCAGCACCGGAGTTGTCCTCATCGAAAGACCCGGCACTAGCCGAAAGGAGAGCCGCGGAACAACGGTATAAAGAGGCATCTATTGGCGCAGCGAACGATGAATTCTACCGACAGAATCGGGACAGGGCAAGGTTAAAACGGCGGGAAGGTGAACAGGAGCGCGCGGGGAAAGTGGAAGATGTGGCAAAGGAGAATCAAAAGAACGCGCAAGAGATCTTCAATATTCTGGACACGGAAGAGACTGAAGGTCTTGATGAAGCACCAACATCTGCTGTGCCTCCATTGCGACGAGGCGAAAAGGCTGCACATCTTCAATCCCAACAGGTCGAGCAAAAGGAACTCGAACCAGGTTCCACCCGACGAGAACATCAAAATCAACTGACCGGTACTAGAGGGTCCACGGAGTCGGATTTTGTCGACGAGGAATTGGAGAATGAGTTTGGAAACATGCGTGGCCACGTGAAGCAGATCCGGAAGATTCGAAAGCAGAAGCGGGAGAAGAAAGCCGAGCTCGCGGCTGCGAAGGAAACTGCAGCGGTTGCGCTCCGGGAGCTGGAGCGAGCGCAGGAGCGGATCAAGGAGCTGAGTGACGAGTTAGCGGACTTGGAAGCGGAGAAAAGGAAACTGGGGTTCGGGACGCACGGGACCACACAAAGGATTCACGTCTGCGCAGAAAATTACGAGGTGGAAACCTCGGACGACGAGGTTGTCGCAAAAAGGAGAGATGATGAAGACCATGCGAAGCAAAGCTCCAAAAAGAAGCCGGCTACAGCAGGTACTACGTCTGAGCGAAATTGGGAAAGGGATGACCACGCCACTCCGTCAGTTGTGCCGGCTGCCTCTACACGCGAAAAAGAAGGGAAAGAAGACCGCGCACCACACCAGGACACGCACAGCAGAAGAACCAGAAGAGATCATCGCGTTGACGCTGTAGAGGAGAGGGAGACCACACGAAGAAGTGCCGAGCACAAAAATGAGGCTGCGAGTACGCATCGGGGGAAGGTTTCTGCACACCCAGACGACGAAGCCCGAAGCAGGAAATCAAAAAAGGAGAAGAAGAGCAGAAAACGGAGCACCTCGTCCTCTTTCCTCGAACGGTTCCAATTCGAGTCCGGAAGTCGTGTTAGGGAACCGCATGATGACAAGCTCAGTGAAAACGCTAAGCTGTAGTTCGCCAGTTGGCCACCGCAGTGAGTGTGAGGGGTGACTACAGCACGAGAAACTTCTGCCAGTTTTGAATGCTAGACCCGTTTTCTTTTAAACCCTTTACTGGGTAACATCATCATCATCATATTGACGCTAAAAATTCTACACGATGAAGCGATCGCGATCCTCAGTTCTGAAGCCCGAACTCATTCTTCACAGAACAGTTTTGTAAAACTTATCTGCCAAATTTAGTTTGTATGCCCAGCAAAGCTATTATTATTAAGGCGAGGACTTACAGAGAAAGAAATGCTCTGTCGTGTGGTGGTATCCCTAACCAACGTTCTAGAAGCTGTGACGAGAGCATCGACAGAGTCGCGATTATTTTCGATATGAAGAGCTGCAAGACCATAAGATAGAGAGCTGGCGTCGCCGTTTAGCATGGCTTGAGAGATGTGTAGTCCGCAACATCGTGGTGGATTCGCTCGTCGTTGTTGTCTTCTTCGTCTCTTGTGAGATAGGTGTCGTTTTCTCGAGCAGTGAGAATCAATACGCTTATTGTCCGGAAGGACGGAAAAACGTGAATAGCGTCCTCGTTGCAGTAACAGAAGTACGTACGCCAGCCCCAGCACGTGCGAAATAGCATGCAAAGCCAGACCCGATTAGAAGTTGCTTGCCGACTGCACCATCTGCTGCAAATCGCGCGAAGCGCCTCTGATCCGCCCACCACCGCGTCGCCACCAAGAACCTCCAGTGTGGTCCGACAAGAAAAGTCATGCCGTTCTCTTCCGGCGGCAGCGAGTCGTCGACAAGTCGGCGCCACCTTGCGGTCACGAAAGAGAAATTAGCCTCGCAACGAGAGCAGAGGAGAGTGGGAACAACTGCACAGGAAAAACATAGACGACAGCAGCAACAAAGTCTAGCAAAGGACGACGGCACGTTCACGCTTTCCTCTCCGGAGGAAAAAAGTTCTTCTACCACGTTGTGCCACGAAGCTGCAAATAACGGAAAAATCGCCACTGGTTCGCCTTCGAGCTCGGTGGGTTTTCAAGCGGAGCTGCTCGATGTCTTGTGTCCGGAGGACACGGGAGGTGGCGCAACCCGGCCCCAGGCGACCGGCCCCATTGCGTACAATCAGGACCAGTTTCTGCCGAAGAGGAGCGGGGTAGCTGGAGCACGGACAACTAGACTGCGGTCTCCTGCCGCGGGGACGAAGCGAGCTAGTGCGTGTGCGACCGGAGAAAAAAGCAGAGACGAGGACGATGGTGCGGGAACACCGGCAGAACAACTCGCTCCGCCCCCTCTCCAGGACAGAAACCCGGGTATTCCCGACATCACCCGGCGACCGATGCCGCGGTTCACGCTCGCGGCAGACAGGTCCAGGAGCCGAAGGAGTACTGGAACAAGGGTAGGACAACAACAACTCAGCGCCAAAGACGACCACTCCATCGTTAGCAACGCAAGTTCCATCAGACTACGCCGCGGAGGAACCAGTAGAGACAGAGCCCGAGCTCTTTCAGCGAACAACAAACTTAGTGCGGATGAAGTTTGGAAACTCGGCGTCGATGCAAACGGGAGGGCAACGAGGCCAGTACAACCGAAGGAGCCACCGAAGCCGAAGTACGAGATCCACTACGACGGTGTGTACCTGTTCTACAAAGAGCAGGAGATCATCGCGAACAAGGATCAGTCGCAGGAAAAAGAAAACGAAGGTAGCGCGCCAGCGTCCCCGGTCGTAGTGCCCGTCGTCGCGGAAAGCCCAGAACAGCAAGAACCTCTCCTCAACGGCGAGGCTGCGATGTCAAGGCAGAAGCAGAAAGACGAGAAGATCAAGGAACTCTCGGCCGCATTACCGCTAGATGACAGGGAAAAGCTGAAAAAGCTCCGCATGAAGCAGCTCCACGAGCGGTTGGCGCAACACCGGGAACGGCACGAAAGCGCGGAGAAGAGGCAGATGCAGACGCAGTCCTTGGACAAAATGGAGCAGATCGTATTGAAGAAGGTGACAGAGGTAACCGCGCGGGAGCAGCCGGGGGGCGGGGCGGAGAGTGTGAATGATGACGTTCGTGTTTTGACGAGTCCGAAAGGCAACATCAAAGGTGGACAACAAGGAGGTGTCCCAGCAGCTGCGAAAAGAGCTGCTGCCGCAGAGGGCTCTCAAACCGATAACTCATCGCCGCATCCTCTTCACGTGAAAGACCTGGTAGAAGATTTCGAGCAGCGCGCCTCCGCGGCGAAAGAAGATCAGGAGGCGCACGAGAAACTGCACCGCCAGCTCGTGGAGCAGCTGCGAACGCTGGCAAGATTTACGGCTTTGAAGGAGGAAAAGCACACGGCGTCGGACCGGAAGTCACTCAATGACATCGCGAATCACGTCGAAGTAGCGCATGCGAATCACATGAGGCAAAGGAAAAGTAAATCCGAGCAGCACGACCAGGATCGGGATCACGACAGTAACTTGAGCGAACTGTTTGTCAACAAGGTGGAGTATTCCGGGCAGCCGTTTGCGGTCATGAAAGGGAAGTTGGATGCGCACTCGGAGAAGGTACTCCTAAAAATTAATTGTACTAGAGCATATATTTTTGTCATCGTCATCACGTTCTTGCACCAGAAGCCGTGCGTGTCTCTCAGCATTTTTCCGCAAGGAAAATTCCAATCTCGAAATTCTATCAGGTCCAAACCCTCACCCGGAAATCGCAAACTCTCGTCGAGCGTCGCAGCGAGGCAGACCGAGCGGCGGTGGCGCTGCACCAGGCTGGGCAGTTAGCTTACAGCATCCACGAGCTGCCCAGACGGGGGCGGGAGAAGGTGCTGAAGCAGTTTGACATCGCGACGAAGAGCCACGACCTTGCGCAGCAGCAGGAGAAACAAGCGGAGGGTGAAGCCGAGAAGGCGAGGGCGGATTTGCGGAGTTTTGTCGTGAACGAGATCGTGCTAACGACGAAGAAGGAATCGAATGCGATGGATTCGAAATTAGACTCAACTTTGAGGAGCAGGGCGCGCGGATCGGCGATGCAGAGGAAGTCGAGGCGGGGTTCTATTTTACGCGAACAGACGAGTGGCAGCAGCCGGAGTCCGGATAGTCATAGTGCAGCTTCTCAGGGCCGCCCATCACCGGAAATTGTTTCTGGAAGTAGAGACTACACGGGCGAAGGAGGTTCTCGTTCGTCGCAGAAGGAAGAATTGAGGGGACAGGAAAAGGCAGAAAAGATGAAGAAACTTCTCGCAGCGCTACCAGCAGAAGACCGGGATACTCTGGAGAGAAGAGCGTCTATTGTTGCAGCTCCAGCGACAGGACAACATGCCGTAAATGACGTAAGAGCAGAAACCGATCATCTTGACATGGAGTCTGCCGCCGCAGAGCTGGGCCTCGGACTGAAACAAGAAGCTCCGTCCGCCCGCTCTAGAGCAGGTAAAAGAAGAAAGCGGGTGGACCGAGCCGTCGATCCAGAAACTGAATCCTCCTCCGGTAGTGCATCAAACGACAGGGAAAAAGATCCCAGCACAGCTTTACTAGCCGACAAGCGTGAGCCCCACCGGACGTACAAGAGAAAGATGAACTCTCTGATTCGCAGCCCGTATGTCCTGCCGGAGATACGAGGATCCGTGAACGTTTTCAGCAAGGACACTACAAGCAGTCCCTCTGCTTCGGTTTCGTCGCCCCAACAGCGTGAAGAAGAAGATGACTTGGAACAGCAGATCGGAAAGGAGGAGAAGGAGCTGCACGCAAGAATCAATGCCTTTGTGAACAAAGACCAAAAGGAGCAAAACCAGCAACATGGTCCCTCTGGCGGAGGTGCTGGCTCGATGTGGTCTTCCTTCGCAGATTCCCCGACCATCGCGGTTTCCCTCGGTTCAAAGAACACGGTGATGACGGGTAGTTCTGGAATGGAAAACAATCATTACCAGAACGAACAGCATCTACAAGAATCGACCAAACGGGTTTCCATGCTGACCGACGCAAGAAAACAGAAGCAGGTGCAAGAAAAAGCAGTTTTTCCCGCGAGTATGGCTGAATTGAAACTTACTCCGAATTTAGATCTGATTTCCGATAGTCACAAGCGGGCGAGCGAAATGCTGGAGCATTTAAAGGAGAGAATCCCGTACCCGATCGACGTTCTGGAATCTCCGCCGGATATATCACCCGATTCGACGACGCGAGGAACAACCACAGGTGGTGGTTCTGTCATCGGCAAACTCCGATCCCCGATTCTGCCAACGTTGCACCTCCAGCCGCTACGCGGGTTCGGTGGCAAACCGCAGAAGCGGAACAGCGTGCAGTTGGCGGATGAGAAGATCGAGAAGAGCAGTCCGCAGTTTCAACTCTCCAACGCGCCGGCGGAAGAGGGTCGTGATGAAGCAGCAGCTCCGGCGCAAAAGAACGTCGGCCAAGATGAAAAGCGACGTATCAACAGAGGGAACAATTCTCTGGCCGGGGTGGACGACAGTAGCAGGCCGTCTTCTCTCTCCGCTAGCTACTCCGATGCGGTTCGGGCAGAGAAGAAAAAGGATCGGCGGAACCGGATTGCTTTTCGAGATGAGCAGGTGGACGAGGAGGAGGAGGAGGAGGTGGAGGCAAAAAAGGGAGACATGATTACGAGCACTTCAACATCCAAAAGGTCTCTGAGTTCGCACAAAAGACGAGGTGGACCACCAGCATCGCCGTTCAGCAAGTCATCAGCCGAGAGCATTTCTAACAGAGCTAGTAGCAGTAAGCTTTTCGCGGACTACCAAGGTAAAAATGCTGACCAAGAAGCGCTATCGCCGGAAAAGAAGCGCAAGTCTTCCTCAAGAAGTCGCTCGAGACAGAAAGAAGAAACGGGGCTGGCTGGATCTGCGCAGATGAATGAGGATGAGGAAGACCAAATCCAAAAGCTGCAAGACGGTCTTCGTCATGAAGAACATTTTGAACAGAATCTGTTACTGGACTCTGGAAACCCAAACGTGATACGCGGCTTCGGAAGTAGTAGTAGTCTGGATCCTGATCTTCAAGGGCAGAATTTTACCTCTTCCGCGGCTTCAGAAAGAAAAAGCAAAAAGGAAAAGCGTCGCGACAGCAGTTCAGAAGCAACTGTTGGAGCAAAGAAGTCGAAGAAGCAGAAGAAAGTAGAGGACCGGATGAATTATGGCACATCAATGCGCTCCACCAGCGCCCCTGCAAATCCAATCGCTGCGGATTTTGTCCTCCATGACAACGAAAAGGTGAAAGCCGAGCCGCGACGGTCAATGGTGACGGGGTTGAAGAGGAGAAGTGAGGATGATTTGGTTGATGCACGCACTGGTCGTCAACAAGCAGAAGCAGAAGGAGCTCCTGCGCCAGAACTCGTCACGCTAGAACGGCTAGCTACCACCCCAACCGAACGGGTACACGAGGGAGAGCACCAATCTAGTACCGCTAATGCTTCGTCCCGCGGTGGGAAGAACAAAGTCTCTCTGGTGTCCTCCAAACGCCGAAAGAGCGAACCGAAGAACGAAGGCGAGGAGCAGATGGTCTTCGAGTCTGGGCACAGTATCACTGATGGAGGAGATGAATTGTCTCAATCGCTTTCTCATCTCCCCGAACCATCAAAGAAAAATGCGGATGAGGAACGAAAAATGCAGTCTAAAAAAATCAGCGAAGACACCAGTGCAGCCACTGCTCGCCAAAAACGATGGGAAGAGAACCGCAGCCGGAGTTTCAAGAAAAAAGACAAAAAGAAGGAGAAAAAAAAGAAGGAAGAAATAACACCAAGCCCATCTGGTACGTCGGAAGGGAGTTCCGGTCCCTCTTCCATCGCATCCGGCGATAGCGAGCCAGGTGTAGATAATTCAAATTCATCTCTGGAACCACAAAACAAAAAGAAGAAAAAAGAAAAGAAGGAAAAAAAGGAGGTGAAAATGGCCGCTTTTGAGGAGGCACGGGAGCACTACTTCGACAAACGCGCGGGTCGCGAGCCGAAGGGAAACTTGAGGCACAGACCCAAAGAGCGTAAACTGCTCCATCCGCACAACACGATGGAGTCGCTGGAGCTGGAGCCGCTGGAATATTACGATAGTATATGCAATGCAAAAGTATCGTACTCGTAGTAATTGCACGAGATTCGAATAGCTTCGCCCGCTGGGTGTGACATCGCAAACTTGCGCTAGAAGGAACATTTTTCACAGAGTTCACCTGCCGCGACGGCGCGCAGGCGTTTTCGGTATCAACTGAGAAAGACACTGCCTCTGCTGTCGTGCCGCAGTGCGTTTCCAGCTGCAAGGAAGCCCAGCCGGAAGCACATTGAAAACGCATCCGCAGCGCATCCCAGCCGGAAATGCCTCTTCAGGGCATTTCTACCGAGCTGGTGGAGATCGAGCTAGAGACGCCCTCTCAGACAGAGCGTTTGCGTT